GGGTTACATTAATTTTAACAACCAAAAATGCAGATTATAGCAAAAATGAAAAAAACTGCCTTGGTAGGCAAGTGGATGAAAGGCTCCAAATGAGTGGGGTAAATAGTTGATACATTGTAGAGCACATCATAGACAACAATATGTCCCATCTGCATATCATGCCACTCTCAATGATTAATAACTAGCAATCTCAGAAGCGAGAAATCTCTGAAAATCCCCCATCTTGCATGAATAATACCAATAATTTAAACACAAAAATAGAAATGGCCCGATTTTACTGAATTTTGTAATTCAGTATAAATCGGGGCATTTCCCAGTGAACTTTTTAGTGTATCTAAATCTGCTAGTCCATCTAGCACTCCCCTCAGATTGAAAAGGCTGCTGTCCAAAGGTGTCTCTTTTGCTCCTCCATCCAGAACGTAGGCGCTCTAATACCAGAGGCGTGTTACTAGCCAGATCACCATTTCAGGGAGAAGAAACAGCCAGATCACTGTTCTGTGTGTCTGTAAACACAGACCTCTGTGATTGCTGTGATTGGCCACAGCCGATCAGCACATATTTTTTTTTGGGGGGTTACATTAATTTTAACAACCAAAAATGTAGATTATAGCAAAAAAAAAAAAATGAAAAAACTGCCTTGGTAGACAAGTGGATGAAAGGCTCCAAATGAGTGGGGTAAATAGTTGATACATTGTAGAGCACATCATAGACAATAATACGTCCCATCTGCATATCATGCCACTCTCAATGATTAATAACTAGCAATCTTAGAAGCGAGAAATCTCTGAAAATCCCCTGTCTTACGAATGAATAATAGTAATAATTTAACACAATAAATTCAGTATAAATCTGGGCATTTCCCAGTGAACTTTTTAGTGTATCTAAATCTGCTAGTCCATCTAGCACTCCCCTCCCTTCAGATTGAAAAGGCTGCTGTCCAAAGGTGTCTCTGTTTGTCCTCCATCCACAGCGTAGGCGCTCTAATACCGGAGGCGTGTTACTGGCCAGATCGCCATTTCAGGGAGAAGAAACAGCCAGATCACTGTTCAGTGTTCTGTGTGTCTGTAATCACAGACCTCTGTGATTGCTGTGATTGGCCACAGCCGATCAACACATAGTTTTTTTTTTTTTGGGGGGGGGGGGGGGGTTACATTAATTTAACAACAAAAAAATGCAGATTATAGGAAAAAATGTAAAAAAAAAACTGCCTTGGTAGACAAGTGGATGAAAGTGCCAGGCTTCAAATGAGTGGGGTAAATAGTTGATACTTTGTAGAGCACATCATAGACAACAATACGTCCCATCTGCATATCATGCACTCTCAATGATTAATAACTAGCAATCTTAGAAGCGAGAAATCTCTGAAAATCCCCCATCTTACATGAATAATACTAATAATTTAAACACAAAAATAGAGTTTCCTTACAAAATTCAGAATAAAATCGGGGCATTTCCCAGTGAACTTTTTCAAAAGACGGGCCGGTCCCTGAAAATCGCGGTCCTGTTCTCAGACCAATCTCACGAGTACAGCTTTGCTGGAATAGAATATTTATGTTGCAATACATAATTATGTCATTTAGGAAGTAGCTTGTGACTAATATTTTCTGTGGCTCGCTGTTGCAACTTGCCCAAAATTCTCGTAAATAAAAACGAACAAACATTACAAAATCATCATTTTACAGATTCAGGTTTCTACCGATTTACTTTTCCCAGTGCTCTGTTTGTTAGACAAATAATCGTAACGTTTACCCTCATGGCACGAGGAGTCAGCCGGCGCTGGGATCGCATCTGAGCAAACGAATATTAAATGTGGGAATTTGTTGGGTGACAGCACACAAGGGAGGGACAAAAAAAAGACAATAACCTCGAGATAAAACGGCTGAAAATGATTTACTGTGTTGTGGGTTTTCACACACAGCAGATGATCATATCTCATCGGTACCAAAGATTCTCTCTGCTTTACCCCGTCTAGTATTTTTCGCTATTATAGTAGCCTCCCTAGCAGTCTGATTATGTCCGTATTTCTGTGCTCAAAGCGGTACTTTTTTTTTGCATGGAAATATGTATTTTTTTATTGTAGGCCTGTAATTTTTAGGAATAACTCACTGAAATCTGTCCAAACAAGAGTCTAGTAAACATCCCGGGTAGGATACAATTTGAAACACGAAATCATAAATTATAATTTAATAAATAATCATGAAAAATAATATAATAATAAATACATTTATTTCAATAATATAATCAAACCAAAAACACTGAAATGTGAAATAGAGCGCCAAGTTTGCACATCGCTGAGCAAAGTCGCAGAATCGTTTTCAGTGTCTGATGAGGAATTTCCCCCACCAATCATTATCACTCAATTCTGCAAGTGGTTCTGATTTACTATCGCTGTTCTCTAGCCGGTCTAAACCCGCTTTTGACCTAAAGGGACGCTTTTTGGACGCCATGGACGTTTCTCAGTTTCCAGGCAGAAAGAACAGTAAAAATGCAGGCAGGGCGCCGGACAAAGCACTCGGGACAAAATGTATGTGAAATGGTTTGATACAGGAATGTTATACTATGTGATTTTAGTGTATTTAGTGAATGTCACTTTTACAACTTTCATATTTCCCGCCAGTTCCGTCCCCCGTACGTCCCGACGTCGCAGGGAACGGAACCCGGAAGACAAATGCCGGCATCGGCCGGAGGAGATTGCTGGGGACACTGCAGGGGGGACATCGCGGGGAGCGCAGGACAAGGTAAGTGAAGAAGAGATCCCGGAGTAACGCTGAAGTGTATTCCTGAGTGTAGCTCAGGGTTACCACTTGTGGTGCTGAAACTTTACCCCAAGCTACACTCGGGAATACCGCCAGGGGGGTTAAAGGATAAGTTTACCTTTTGACAAAAAATAATAAATGCATAATTTGTTGCAGGTAAAAAAAAAAAGTGCATTTATTATTGTTCGTTGCAGGAGCCTGGAAAGCAGTGCACCAGCGATCAGCAGATTGCTGGTGTCATGCAGGTCCCCTGCAGACCTGTCAGTCTATCGGCATGCCAGTATGTAATGTATGGACAGGCAGATATACTGACAGGAAGAATCTATCACAGGATGGGGGGGAGGGGGGGGGGGGGGGGGGGGGGGGGGCAGCGGTGTTTTGGCTGAAAAAAATGCTTGGCACGCCTAAATGTGTGTAAGTGCGCCTATACGCTAGGCACGTTTCGCACTTCAGTGTTCATTTACTTCAATAGCCAGAATAAATTAGTTATTATGACCAATAAACAAATGAACACCCAAGCAGTTGTTGCACAGAACTTTACTGGAGCACGGTAAAACGCATCAAAAATGCACCGGAATGCACACGTCCCTATTTAACCCCTTCATGCTGGCACCTCCCGGCCCTTTAAGAGTTTCAGAATCCGGGAGGCGGGACGGGCGGGGTTTAGGGATCATGTGACCACCGTGACACATCGTCACATGATCGGGAAAGGTCCCGATCGAAAGAGGAGACCGGGACCTTTCCGTGAGTACCAGACATGTGTGCTGGGAGCGTGCAAGGCATGCGCGCTCTCAGCACATATGTTTTTTCTTACCTGAACGCAAATGTGCGGCCGCTCGGCATCTAGGCCAAGATGCCGGGAGGCCACACATTTGTGTGCGGACGGCGTGAAGAGGTTAAATTGAAGGAAAAAAAGAGGGGAAAATAAATGAACTGGAATGCGTAATGAAATGCACTGGAACGCGTCAAAAAAACGCATCGGAACACGCAAAAAATGTGTCAAACATGCACATGCAAAAACACATGCCGAACGCATCTGGACTGCATTTCTATAGTGTGAACCGACCTTTATGGTCAGTTCACACAACATGCATTTCAGTTGCTTTTTTTCTGCATCCAAAACGCACAGAAAGTAGGTAACATGGTTGCATTCCTGTTCATTTTTTCCTCTCTTTTTCTCGTGTAGTCCAGTGCGGTTTTGGTGCGTTCCGGTGCGTTTTACCGCGTTCCAGTACAGTTCTGTGCAGATAAAATGCAGCCTGTTCTACTTTTTCTTTCTGCAATCCGGAACGCACTGGAACTGCAAGCACCGATGTGAACTATGACATTGACAACCATATAAACTACTTTCTGTGTGTTTTGGATGCAGAAAAAAAAGCAACTGCAATGCATGTAGTGTGAACCGGCCATCAGGGTTCCTTTTTATGTGGGCCCTCCTCCCATGGCCACATAGACTGGGCATGTCTCGGTTCTATCTGCTGTTGGTAGACCTGATAGGGCTTGACGTTTCAGTCCCTATGGTAAGTTGGCACTCTGGGCGTTGTTTTTGGTATGGTGACCAGGGAGGGGGTAGGTACGTCGTCAGGGTCATCATTCTTCGGCATTTGGGAGACTCACCCTGTGTGTCCTGTTTACCATTACTACCGAAAGTGAACAAATTTCACAGATCTTGGGTTGTCCCCAGAACAGGAAAAGAGGGGAAATCTTCAAATGGAGACACTAGTACTGATGACACCCCTTACCCTAGGGGGATTTCCTCTTACTTCCTGTTTTGGTTATGAGACAGGTAATGAAGGGAAATCTCCCCAACAGATGGAGACCCCCCCTTTACTGCATCCAAAATGGAAAACGTTTGAATTTAGTTCACTTTAGGAGTGATGGTTCCACATGGTGTCAAGTGGGGTGTTGCCATTGTTGACTGTCCGGCCTGTCCGCCTGATCCGCTCCATTTCCTAGCAAGTTACAGACCCAAAACTGACATGCAGTTGAACAGCCGCAGCATGCTTGTTTAGACCACTGGCTTACTACACGGTGAAGCCAGAGTGGCGGTGACAACCTAATGTCAGCTCCACATTGCTGCACTCACAGGTTCACTTTAAAATTTGCCAACTCTTCCCACAACAAATATGGCTGCCGAGTCAACTCCCTTGGCAGTGTCACTTCCTTGTCGTGCTCATTGCCGCAATGAGTCCGTTGGTTGTTTTCCTCCGGCAGGAAACTCTAACCACAACACGAAGGTTCCGTATCCGAACTGCTGCCATGGAGACCGAGGATGGGGGAGAGCCGGGGCCACTGTGGGTGTCGGAGACTCTGCGGGTGCTCGCTGCTGCCCTGCGGGAGTGCGGGGCGCCCTTTACCGTCTGGTTCAAAGAGAGCAACCAGAAGAACCTGAGGAGCCGGGACTTCCTGGTGCCCCGGGGAGCGCTGAGGAATTCCTTCCCCGAGGGAGAGGTGCACATGGCATGGGGAGGGGGCAGGGAAAGCTGACAACCCTATGTTATCAGAGGCACTACAAGTCCCAGCATACACTGCCACCATATTCTTATCTATGGAACTACAAGTCCCAGCATACATTGCCACCATATTCTTATCTATGGAACTACAAGTCCCAGCATACATTGCCACCCTAGTATTATCTATGGAACTTACAAGAATCTAGCAAGCACTGCCCTCCTAGCGACATACAGTATATGGAACTACAAGTCCCAGCATGCACTGCCTTCCTATAAACATATGTCTGCACAAGTCCCAGCATGCACGGCCACGGTTTTATCTATGGAACTACAAGTCCCAGCATGCACGGCCACCTTATCTATGGAACTACAAGTCCCAGCATGCACGGGCACCCTAGTGTAATCTTTGTCACTACAAGTCGTAGCATACCAGACAACACTGAGCTTACTCTTTCAGGCCCTCTATTATTTATTTCAGGTACTTATATAGATGGAGGAGGAGAAATAAATTGTAATCATTACACCACACTTTTGGCAGATATAAAAGAAATGATAGAAGTTACATTAATTATTTATTTCAGGTACTTATATAGCGCCATCAATTTACACAGCTCTGTACATATATATTGTACATTCACATTCCCTAACCCTCAAGGGGTACGATCTAAGGTCCCTAACCCTAAGTGGCGTACAATCTAAGGTCCCTAACCCTCAAGGGGCGTACAATCAGGTCCCTAACCCTCAAGGGGCGTACAATCTAAGGTCCCTAACCCTCAAGGGGCGTACAATCTAAGGTCCCTAACCCTAAAGGGGCGTACAATCTAAGGTCCCTAACCCTCAAGGGGCGTACAATCTAAGGTCCCTAACCCTCAAGGGGCGTACAATCTAAGGTCCCTAACCCTAAAGGGGCGTACAATCTAAGGTCCCTAACCCTCAAGGGGCGTACAATCTAAGGTCCCTAACCCTCAAGGGGTGTACAATCTAAGGTCCCTAACTCACATTCATACATACACATACTAGGGACAATATATACAGGAGCCAATTCACCTACCAGCATGTCTTTAGAGTGGTGTGGGTGGAAACCGGAGTACCCGGAGGAAACCCACACAGGCAGAATATGCAAACTCCAGGTAGGTGGTGCTGTGAACCAACAACCCTAGTACTGCCAGGCGGAAGTGCTAACCATTTAGCCACTGTGCTGCCCAGAAACAATAGTGTGCAATTTGCCTTTTTCTCTTTTAGGGCTCTATGTCCCTACATCCTTCAAGCAGCTGCTGCTTCTCTGTTTTAGGAAGCTTTTCCAGGTCATAACCAAAACAGTTTATTGCTGTCAAACGATTCCAATGAGGTATAAATTGCTTCATGATGCACATCTGAATGCGTTTATTAAAGCAGTCATTCCATTATTGAAATACTGCTTTAAAGCGGAGCTCCACCCAAACGGGGAAGTTTCGCTTTAAGGACTGCTCCCCCGCTCCCCATTAAGAATTGGCACCTTTGGGGGGCGGGCACCAGAATTTGACAGGTACTTGCTCCCACTTCCGGTCCGATCACCTAGGCGATTGGAATCGGAAGGTGTCCTCCCTCCCTCCCTGTAGTTTTTTTGGGACACGTGACAGGTCCCAAAAGACTACAGTACCATTCATGAAGCGCAGCGCTTCTCGCACATGCGCAGTGGGTACCCGGCTGTGAAGCTGCAAGCTATCAGCCAGGTGCCCACACTGAAGATGCCGGCCTCCTGGAATACAGGACGGCCTGTGAAACGGGCTGCGGGGGACACCATGGGACCGAGGGACAGGCAAGTGGCTGTTTTTTTGAAAAGTCAGCAGCTACAGTTTTTGTAGCTGCTGACTTTTATTTATTTTTTTGCAGGGTGAGTGGAACTCCGCTTTAAGTGAATATCAATTATAAAGCCTCATAAACAGAAAATGCCTAAAAAACCTTTTGAAAGTGAGCGAAGTTTAAAACAATGAAACAAAGTATCACCATAGTGAGTTATGGAATACACTGGGATCTCATAAGAGTTACATTGTACTGGAGTCTTCCAGCAAACTAAAAGTGATTTTCTTTTCCAGGTTCCGGCAGATCTGATCCAGAAGCTGATGACATTAAAAGTCCCGGGAACTCTCCCTATTAAAAAATGTCAGCAGACAGAAGCCGGGCTTGTCATCCAGCTGGACAGGCTTGACACCTTCCATCGAATTCTGAGAGACTTCACACCGTATATGAGGCCTGTCCCGCCCTCCTCGGATGCAGTACAGACCGCACTGATCCTGAACTGCGCCCCCCTGCACGCTTGCACCAGTCTGGACACCTTCAAGCTCAGTCACCTTAGAGCCGTATTAGTGGCAGATCACATGGCAGAGGTGCTCACACTAAGAGGGTTAGTGAAATTTTAAAAGACTTTAGGGTTTGGTTAGACCAGGGCTAGGCAACCTGAGAGCTGCAGGACTACAAGTTCCATCATGCCTCTGCAAGTCATAGCTATAACTGTCAGTTTTGTAATCTTTGCACTGCCTCATGGGAAATGTAGTTGCACAACAGCTAGAGAGCCGCAGGTTGCCTACCCCTGGGTTAGAGCATTTCTAAATCCCCAAAACATACAGCATTCCAGTCCTTATAGCAGTATGAAACCCAAAACGCAAACATTAATTACATTGCAGCCTACGAATTCTTAGATTTGGTGGCTGCATTTGTTTTCTTCTATTTTCAGCTGTAGATCCAGCCAGCAAGTCTTGTTTTTCAAAAGTACAAGCTGTCTTGCAGTTGTAGCAGTTAGAGGGTTGAGACAAACCATTTACCACTGACAGGGGTGCTTACAATGATCAGCTTTGATTTATTTATGTAAAACCTTTATCTCAAAGGGAAAAGAACTGTTTTCTGTAAGTGCCTATAAAGTGTGAGCTCCCCTCAGAAAAGGCTGCTGTCCAAAGGTGTCTCTGTTGCTCCTACATCCAGAGAGTAGGCGCTCTAATACAAAGAGGAGTGTTACTGGCTAGATCACCATTTCAGGGAGAAAAAACAGCCAGATCACTGTTCTGTGTGTTTGTAAACACAGACCTCTGTGATTGCTGTGATTGGCCACAGCTGGTCATCACGTATACAGCCAAAATAATTGGCTGAAATCTGCTGACAAATTCGTGCTGTGTCCCCTCCCCCCAGGCTGACAATGCTGCTTTCCAAAGGTGTCTCTGTTGCTCCTTCATGCAGAGTGGGGGCGCTCTAATACAGGAGGTGAGTTACTGGCCAGATCACATGGTGAAAACAGAAGGGGAAAAAAGACTAAAAATGACTAATGCAGTCACCACATCTAAGGATTGGTAAGCTGCAATATATTACATTTTTGGTTTACTATAACTTTAAATGGAGTGTCTGTATTAGTTTTATTTTTTCCGGCTATGTTTCCCTTTTTCACCTTGTGATCCTGCCAGTAACACACCTGCTGTCCGTCCATGCTTATTCTCATTTCTCCATTGTGTCTGTGGCAGCAGCCATGGGTATCACCCGAATTGCACTGCAAACATGTCTGATATTTTTAAAGCTGATGCTTAATCTGTTTATATTTGCCTTATCTGGTTTTTCACCCTCCCCCCTCATCAACTTGCTAATTAGGGTTTCAGTGGGAGGAATAATGCCCCCTCACTGGTGTCAGTGGGAGGAATAGTGCCCCCTCACTGGTGTCAGTGGGAGGAATAGTGCCCCCTCGCTGGTGTCAGTGGGAGAATAGTGCCCCCTTGCTGGTGTCAGTGGGAAGAATAGTGCCCCCTCGCTGGTGTCAGTGGGAGGAATAGTGCCCCCTCGCTGGTGTCAGTGGGAGAGAATAGTGCCCCCTCGCTGGTGTCAGTGGGAGGAATAGTGCCCCCTCACTGGTGTCCCCCCTCGCTGGTGTCAGTGGGAAGAATAGTGCCCCCTCGCTGGTGTCAGTGGGAGGAATAGTGCCCCCTCGCTGGTGTCAGTGGGAGGAATAGTGCCCCCTCGCTGGTGTCAGTGGGAGGAATAGTGCCCCCTCGCTGGTGTCAGTGGGAGGAATAGTGCCCCCTCGCTGGTGTCAGTGGAGGAATAGTGCCCCCTCGCTGGTGTCAGTGGGAGGAATAGTGCCCCGTCATTGGTGTCAGTGGGAGGAATAGTGCCCCCTCGCATTGGTGTCAGTGGAGGAATAGTGCCCCGTCATTGGTGTCAGTGGAGGAATAGTGCCCCCGTCATTGGTGTCAGTGGGAGGAATAGTGCCCCCCTCGCTGGTGTGTCAGGGAGGAATAGTGCCCCTCATTGGTGTCAGTGGGAGGAATAGTGCCCCCTCATTGGTGTCAGTGGGAGGAATAGTGCCCCCATCGCTGGTGTCAGTGGGAGGAATAGTGCCCCCTCATGGTGTCAGTGGAGAGAATAGTGTCCCTTTGCTGGTGTCAGTGGAGGAAATAGTGCCCCTCATTGGTGTCAGTGGGAGGAATAGCGCCTCGTCATTGGTATCAGTGGAGGGATAGTGCCCCGTCATTGGTGTCAGTGGAGGGAATAGTGCCCCCTCATTGGTGTCAGTGGAGGGAATTGTGCCCCGTCATTGGTGTCAGTGGAGGAATAGTGCCCCGTCATTGGTGTCAGTGGAGGAATAGTGCCCCATCATTGGTGTCATGGGAGGAATAGTGCCCCTCATTGGTGTCAGTGGAGGGAATAGTGCCCCCTCATTGGTGTCAGTGGAGGGAATAGTGCCCCCTCATTGGTGTCAGTGGAGGGAATAGTGCCCCCTCATTGGTGTCAGTGGAGGGAATTGTGCCCCCTCATTGGTGTCAGTGGAGGGAATTGTGCCCCGTCATTGGTGTCAGTGGGGGAATTGTGCCCCTTCATTGGTGTCCATGGGAGAAATAGTGCCCCATCGTTGGTGTCCGTGGGAGGAATAGTGCCCCATCGTTGGTGTCCGTGGGAGGAATAGTGCCCTGTTGTTGTCAGTAGCAGGAATTATGCCCCATTGTTGGTGGCAGTGGGATATAGTGTCTTGAATCAGTGGAAGGCAAAGTGCCACAAGTGCCAGATAAAGGCACGCAAAGGGACGCATCTGACCCCGTGCCACAGTTTTGAGACCACTGGGCTAGATAATGTTGGGTGTCCTCCAACCAGAAAATGAGGTGGGCTGTATCTGACTTGCTGCAGCTTCTAATGCAGACTATGAGAAGCTCACAGTGTGCAGTGAAATCAGAGTAAGCAATATCAGTCCAGGAGAGAAGCCGGTAAAACTTTGCAAGACTAAAGGGAAAGCTGGAGGTCAGATTTAAATATATTTCTCTTTGAAGGTTTCATTTTACGTAACCCAGTTTCTGATGCAGTAGATGTAGAGCTCTCGTTTGTGTTCATTTTTCCAGGGAACAGGTCCATTTGATACCTCCAATCAGGAACAAGGACATTGGTGACTTTTTGAAGCAGCTGGGGATCACATGGCCTTCTGTTAAATCTCTGGATGTAGATCAGACCATTTCTAGATACAAGTATTGCTTGAAGGAAGAACTTGGCAGCAGCAGCAGCAGTGTCAGTGGGGACTGTCACCCGCCAGCAGATGCGTCTTCTGTGTCCGCCCTCTTCAGTGTACATCTGAAATCCAGTTCTCAGGAGCATGGCCTCTGCCTGGAGGGATATGACCCAAATATCGACCATTTCCTGGGTAAGTCGGATTTGTTACATTTTGTGTATTTTGCTTTCCTTGGTCCCTCTCCCCCCCTCACCCACCCCATTTATATTTAATTACATTTTTATATTAAGTCTTTCCATTTTTGTTAACCACTTCCCATCCGGCCGCTGTATATAAACGGCTGGACAGTGGCAGTCCAGGGGCGGGTTGCCGTTCATAAACGGCGCCTGCCATTTTGGATTGTGCGCGCTACCTGGGAGCGTGTAGCACCGCGATCTGGTGGACACAGTGGAACACCAATCGCTGTACGGGACCTCTGTGTAAGGTGCCGATCATGTGATCACTGATTGGCCAATCAGTGATCACATGAATAGGTGTAAGCAAGATGTCACTTCTGACATCATTGCTTATTACATGTGAAATTGTGAATGATCCCAGAGGTCACATGGTACAGGGCTATTCACAACAGCCTTGTACCATGTGACAAGCTGTGACCAATCACATCTCTCACAGTATTTCTCAATGGCTGCAAGAATGGAGCCAGAGAGGAGAAATGATTGCTTTTACAGCCTTTATGGCTGTAAAAGCAATCAGTGTAAAAAAAAAAAAATCTTCATCACCCCCCACAAGTAGTACAGGGTCACTACGATATGGTGACACTGTACTGCTAGGATGACAGTATGTTAAAAAGAAAAAAAAAATTATATAAAAAAAAAAAATAAAAATGTAAAAATCACATTCACAGCTCACACAGTATTTCTCAATGACTGCAAGAATGCAGACAGAGAAGGAGAAATAATTGCTTTTACAGCCTTTATGGGTGTAAAAGCAATCAGTGTAAAAAAAAAAAAACTTCATCACCCCCCACAAGTAGTACAGTGTCACCATGGTGACACTGTACTGCTAGGGTGACAGTATGTAAAAAAAAAAACCCCATAAATAATAATATAAAAAAATAAATTAAAAATGTAAAAAAAAATGTTTAAAATTTTTAAATTTTGGTTATAAACTAATTTGGGTTATTTTTTTTTTACTAAAAAGATAACTGAATAAATTTTGGCCAAGATTTATGAAGAAAGATGATTTATTTGCAAAATTTTATAAGAAAAACACTTTTTTTCAAAATTTTGGGGATTTTTCATTTATGTAGCAAAAAAATAAAAATCCCAGTGGTGAATAAATACCACCAAAATAAAGTTTTATCTGTCTCAAAAAAATGCTAAAAAATTCATTTGGGTACAGCGTTGCACGACCGCACAATTGTCATTTAAAGTGCGACAGCGCTGAAAGCTGAAAATTGGCCTGGACAGGAAGGGGGTGAAAGTGTCCGGACTGGAAGTGGGTAAATACCTTATTTTACACCCAGTTGTTTTGGGTATGGTGGAGCAGGTAACTAATATCTGTTCCTGTCATGTGACTGTGCTAGTGCTTGGGGGTGGGGAGGAAGTCTTGAGCCCTGTGTAAGCTCTGACTAGAGCAGTAGTATGCTATGATAACACATCCTGACCACTTTTTAGGAAATCTGAGTGATAGATAGAGGTCTCCATTGCTGACTTCTCCCTCTGGAAATGCTGTTGGCCTGGCTGTCATTCTGAGTCTCTTACTGATACTATATATGCGAACAAGGTCTCTTGCTTTTTGCTTGACTTATTTTGCACAGGCCAGTGGATGAAAGAGGAAGAAAGGCAGTGGGAGAAATTTACTAAAACTGGAGCACTCAGAATTTGCTGCAGCTGTGCATGGGAGCCAATCCGCTTCTAACTTCAGCTTGTTCAGTTAGGCTTTGGCAATAAAACCTGGAAGCTGATTGGTTTCTATGCAGAGCTGCACCAGATTTTGCACTCTGTGGTTTTAGTAAAGAACCCCCATAGTGTCAGACAACCAACTAGCCCTTTCATGGTAAGAACAGTTTATTCTATGCCAGGGGTTTCCAAACTTTCCAAAGGGCTAGTTTACTGTCCTTCATACTTTAGGAGGCTGGACTGTCACCAGTGTGAGTAGAAAATGCCTAAGGTTTGGAGGTCTGTGGAAGTAAAGAAATACAAAGTGCCTGTGGTCAGTAGGAGGAGGAATAGTGCCCTATCTTTGCTGCCAGTTGGAGGAATAGTGCTCCATTATTGGTGTCAGTTGGAGGAATAGTGCTCCATCATTGGTGTCAGCTGGAGGAATAGTGCCCCATCATTGGTATCAGTGGGAGGAATAGTGCCCCATCATTGGTATCAGTTGGAGGAATAGTGCTCCATTATTGGTGTCATTGGAGGAATAGTGCCCCATCATTGGTGTCAGTTGGAGGAATAGTGCTCCATTATTGGTGTCAGTTGGAGGAATAGTGCTCCATCATTGGTGTCAGTTGGAGGAATAGTGCTCCATCATATTGGTGTCAGTTGGAGGAATAGTGCCCCATCATTGGAGTCAGGGGGAGGAATTGTGCTCCATCATTGGTGTCAGTGGGGGGAAATAGTGTCCCATCATTGGTATTAGTGTAAGCTCCATGGAGCAGGGCCCACCTAACCCTCTTGTATTGAACTATATCATTGCTGTATTGTCTCCCTTTATATTGTAAAGTGCTGAGCAGACTGTTGGCGCTATATAAATCCTGTATAATATTAGTGGGAGGAATAGTGCCCCATCATTGGTGTCAGGGGGAGAAATAGTGCTACATTTTTTTTATTAGTTGGAGGACTAGTGCCCCATCTTTGGAGTCAGTTGGAGGCATAGTGCTCCATCAATGCTGTCAATGGGGGCAACAGTTCTCCATCAATGGTATTAGTTGGAGGAATAGTGCTCCATCATTGGTGTCAGTGGGGGGAGGAACAGTGCTTCATCATCGGTTTTAGTTGGAGGAATAATGCTCCATCATTGGTGTCAGGGGGAGGAATAGTGTTCCATTATTCGTATTAGTTGGAGGAATAGTGCTCCATCATTGGATTCAGTTGGAGGAATAGTGCCCCATCATTGGTATCAGTGGGAGGAATAGTGCCCCATCATTGGTGTCAGTGGAAGGAATAGTGCCCCATCATTGGTATCAGTGGGAGGAATAGTGCCCCATCATTGGTGTCAGTGGGGAGGAATAGTGCCCCATCATTGGTATTAGTGGGAGGAATAGTGTCCCATCATTGGTATTAATGGGAGGAATAGTGTCCCATCATTGGTGTCAGTGGGAGGAATAGTGCCCCATCATTGGTATTAATGGGAGGAATAGTGTCCCATCATTGGTGTCAGTGGGAGGAATAGTGCCCCATCATTGGTATCAGTGGGAGGAATAGTGCCCCATCGTTGGTATCAGTGGGAGGAATAGTGCCCCATCATTGGTATCAGTGGGAGGAATAGTGCCCCATCATTGGTATCAGTGGGAGGAATAGCTCCCCATCATTGGTATCAGTGAGAGGAATAGTGCCCCATCATTGGTATCAGTGGGGGGAATAGTGCCCCATCATTGGTGTCAGTGAGAGGAATAGTGCCCCATCATTGGTATCAGTGGAGGAATAGTGCCCCATCATTGGTATCAGTGGGAGGAATAGCTCCCCATCATTGGTATCAGTGAGAGGAATAGTGCCCCATCATTGGTATCAGTGGGGGGAATAGTGCCCCATCATTGGTATCAGTGGGAGGAATAGCTCCCCATCATTGGTATCAGTGAGAGGAATAGTGCCCCATCATTGGTATCAGTGGGGAGGAATAGCTCCCCATCATTGGTATCAGTGGGGGGAATAGTGCCCCATCATTGGTGTCAGTGAGAGGAATAGTGCCCCATCATTGGTATCAGTGGGAGGAATAGTGCCCCATCATTGGTATCAGTGGGAGGAATAGTGCCCCATCATTGGTATCAGTAGGAGGAATAGTGCCCCATCATTGGTGTCAGTGGGAGGAATAGTGCCCCATCATTGGTATCAGTGGGAGGAATAGTGCCCCATCATTGGTGTCAGTGGGAGGAATAGTGCCCCATCATTGGTGTCAGGGGGAGGAATAGTGCCCCATCATTGGTATCAGTGGGAGGAATAGTGCCCCATCATTGGTATCAGTGGGAGGAATAGCTCCCCATCATTGGTATCAGTGAGAGGAATAGTGTCCCATCATTGGTATCAGTGGGGGGAATAGTGCCCCATCATTGGTATCAGTGGGAGGAATAGCTCCCCATCATTGGTATCAGTGAGAGGAATAGTGTCCCATCCCATCATTGGTATCAGTGGGGGGAATAGTGCCCCATCATTGGTGTCAGTGGAGGAATAGTGCCCCATCATTGGTATCAGTGGGAGGAATAGTGCCCCATCATTGGTATTAGTGGGAGGAATAGTGCCCCATCATTGGTATCAGTGGGAGGAATAGTGCCCATCATTGGTGTCAGTGGGAGGAATAGTGCCCCATCATTGGTGTCAGTGGGAGGAATAGTGCCCCATCATTGGTATCAGTGGGAGGAATAGTGCCCCATCATTGGTATCAGTGGGAGGAATAGTGCCCCATCATTGGTGTCAGTGGGAGGAATAGTGCCCCATCATTGGTATCAGTGGGAGGAATAGTGCCCCATCATTGGTGTCAGTGGGAGGAATAGTGCCCCATCATTGGTATCAGTGGGAGGAATAGTGCCCCATCATTGGTGTCAGTGGGAGGAATAGTGCCCCATCATTGGGTATCAGTGGGAGGAATAGTGCCCCATCATTGGTGTCAGTGGGAGGAATAGTGCCCCATCATTGGTGTCAGGGGAGGAATAGTGCCCCATCATTGGTATCAGTGGGAGGAATAGTGCCCCATCATTGGTATCAGTGGGAGGAATAGTTCCCCATCATTGGTGTCAGTGGGAGGAATAGTTCCCCATCATTGGTGTCAGTGGGAGGAATAGTGCCCCATCATTGGTATCAGTGGGAGGAATAGTGCCCCATCATTGGTATCAGTGGGAGGAATAGTGCCCCATCATTGGTATCAGTGGGAGGAATAGTTCCCCATCATTGGTGTCAGTGGGAGGAATAGTGCCCATTGTTGATGTCAGAGGAGAATAATGTCCTAATGAGAGGAATAATGCTCCAAGAACAAGATAAAGGCAAGCAAAGGGCTGTGGGGTATAGAAGTTGCTGACAGTTGGATGTCCCGGATTGCGTAGTGTAGAAGTCAAAGCAAGCAAATCCACTGCAGCAGACACATTTCCATATGACAGGCAGCTTGATTTGTATTAGCTTGCCTCTTGATCATGTTGGTCTTTACTTACTTACTAAATCCCTATTCTGTGTGTTTGTCATTTAGTCAGCGAGGACGACCTGAACCATGTGGCATGGCTGGAGAATTCTGTCAAGGAGTCTATGGTAAGTATCTCAGCGGTTAGCTTCTTGTTCTGAGCAGAGCCACCTTGCACCTCGCTGAATGGTTGCTTCCACTTCCCTCAATCACACATTCTCTGAAGAGGTCATTTTCTATTGGGGTCTAAATGATGGAAAAAGGGCAGCACAGTGGTATATTGGCTAGTACTTCTGCCTTGCAGCACTCGGGTGCTGATTTCAACACCCAAACAGGACACTAGCTACATGGAGTATGTACTCCCTTTCATGGAGTTTGCATGTTCTTCTTTGCATAGGTTTACTTCCACATCCCAAAGACATGCTGATAGGCTAGACGGGCAGCACAGTGGCTAAACGGTTAGCACTTCCTCCTGGCAGTACTTGGGTTGTTGGTTCGTATCCCAGCCACAGCACCACCTGCCTGGAGTTTGCATTTTCTCCCTGTGCCTGTGTGGGTTTTCTCCGGGTACTCTGGTTTCCTCCCACAGTCTAAACACATGCTGGTAGGTGAATTGGCTGCTGTCTAAATTGTCCCTAGTATGTGTATGTATGAATGTGAGTTAGGGACCTTAGATTGTACGCCCCTTGAGGGTTAGGGACCTTAGATTGTACCCCTTGAGGGTTAGGGACTGATGTGAATGTACAATATATATGTAAAGTGCTGCGTAAATTGACGGCGCTATACAAGCACCTGAAATAAATAATTGGCTCCTGCCTATACAGTATGTCCCCAGTATTTGTGTGCCTGTATGCATGTGAGATAGGGATGTTGGATTGTAAACTCCTTAACCCCTTCACGCCTGAGGGGTAAAACAAATCTAAATGCCTAAGCACAATTCTGCAACGTTGACCTGTGTTAGTAAAACCGTACATATCGTCCAACTACTTTGTACATCCAGGTGGATTATACCTTGATTTTTTCAGGACAAATTGGGATTCATTTGGTGGTAAATGGTAATGGATAGCTCCTAATTCTTTTTTATTATCAAAGGAAAACTGGCCCAAAATAGTAAAAATAAAAAAAAAATAGTTTTTTTTTTATTTAGCTGTGTGTTTCTTGTTACGACCATAACCTACCTCCATAGAACAACCCAAAAGTCTCCAGCTCTTGAAGATCGCAGCCATACCATATATGTGTATGTTATTTGTTGTTTGTACCCGTAGTACAGCCCAGAAAGAATAGTGCGCAGTTTGTTTTTGTCTTTTTTTTTTTTACCTAAAACACACTGACACTGACATAAACGCTAACTGACACCAAATTTGTTTTTTAATTCTGACCTTTGACCCTGACCGTTGACCTTGACCTTTGACCCTGACCTTGACCCAAACACTAGCCCTGGTACTGAACGAGATCAAACCTTGATCTAGGTATTTTTCTTTATTTTTTCTTTTATTTTTTAATATTTATTTATCTTTTTTTTTTTTTTTTTTTTTTTTTTTTTAACAAACATTTTTTTTATCTCTCTATGTCAGGAGTTAGAGAGATACAATGTATCTCTCTTCTCCATTCATAGAGAGAGAAAAAACAAGGGGGCCGTGCTGCACAGTGACTGATCACTGTGATAGCCAATCAGAGGCTATCACAGCGATCACGTGACCCGGAATCGGGAGTCCCGGGTCCCGATCGTTAGAACGGAAGCCGGGGCTCTCAGTGACATCGCGGTCTCTGTGCTGGGAGCGTGCCGACTGCTGGCCTGGTCCTGTGATTCTATTCTGATTTGTCTGTTCTGCCCGAATTCTGGTGAGAACCAGCCAGATCTACAGAGCAGCTGCATCTATCCGAGTACCAGGCAGTGAAAGTCATGCTGACCAGATCTGACCAGACCAGTTTGATGACACCGGAGGTCCAGTGATATTATATACAAATGCGCATAAAGATTGCGTATCTGGTGAGTGTGCAATCTTTACATTACTTATCACCTTGCGGTTCCAAATATTGGACGTCTGAGGATCATCTCGGATCTTAAGAGCACCCCTCCATTGGACTCTTTTATTTATTTTGCACTTCCTTCACTTTATAGCCACCATCCAGTGGCTTTATTTTATTAGCACACAGTCACTGTCTATTATGTGAGTTTGATTCTGAATTTCATTATTGTCTGCTAGTTTGTATAGCGCTGCGCCTCCCCCTCCTTTTGTATATCTAGATCAAACCTTGATCTAGGTATTTTTCTTTATTTTTTCTTTTATTTTTTAATATTTATTTATCTTCCTTTTTTTTTTTTTAACAAACATGTTTTTTTTCTCTCTATATCAGGAGTTCGAGAGATACAATGTATCTCTCCTCTCCATTCATAGAGAGAGAAAAAACAAGGGGGCCGGGCTGCACAGTGACTGATCACTGTGATAGCCAATCAGAGGCTTTCACAGCGATCACGTGACCCGGAATCGGGAGTCCCGGGTCCCGATCGTTAGAACGGGACCTGGGGCTCTCAGTGACACCGCAGTCTCTGTGCTGGGAGCGTGCCGAGCGGCGCGCTCCCACCACAAAGACAGGTACGCAAATATGCGGCCCCACGGAAAAAAGCCCCGTTCCGTGCGGCCGCCTATTTGTGTGCCGCCGGCGTCAAGGGGTTAAGGACAGGGACTGATGTGAATGTACAATAATGTAAAGTGCTGCGTAAATTGTCGGCTCTACATAATTACCTGTAATAATAAATGAATAATGTATGTGCCCTACTTATGATGTGTACACTTTTATTTTACCTGTCTGATGACAAGGGGGCAGGACCCTGTGCTGTTCTTCACATCGTTAGCCGCGAGGAAGAGTTCCACCAGCAGAAGCTGGACCTTCTCTGGAGGTTGCTGGAGCCCGGAGCAGCAGCCGTCACTCAGGTAATGGACAAAGAATGCACAGTACACAGACCTGTTCAGTACAGCAGCACAAGGAGTGGTGGAGATACCCAAAGGATTCTTGACGGGTTATTAAAGTGTATCTCTAATCAGAACTTTTTTAGTTTTAGGTGATGCATTAGGAAGTGATAGGAAAACTCTTTGTCCTTTGTTCAAGAGTAGGAATGGTTACAACCTCCTCCTCCTTTTTTTTTACTTTTTTTTTCTTTTTTGTGAAGAGAAATCTCCACTGAGACAGTTATCTTTAAAACAGCTGTCCCCAGTAGAAGGTGTATCCTGACTTCCTGTTCCAGTGACAACTGACAGGGTTTTGGTGCTACAGTGCTAACTGACAGTTATTTTGTTTCAGCGGGAAGTGTCATTATGATGTTTGTACTCGGTGCCACACTTCCAGCCAAACCTTAAAGACTGTAAAAACTGGCTAGGCCAAATCATGCATTGATTGGCTCACGGCCGCACAAGGGCTTCATGTATTTTTTACATAGAACTAGATTAAAGTGGTTGTAAAGGCTTAAGTTTTTTTCTACCTTAATGCATTCTCTGCATTATGGTAAAAAACTTTCTATGATCAGCCCCTCCATCCCATCTTTATACTGACTTGAGCCAGATCTCGATCCTGCTCTGTGCTTGAGAGCAGTAGTGCTGCTCTCTCTCTCCTCACTGGACATGGAGGCATCAACGGGAGTCATTGGCTCATGCTGCTGTCAGTCATATCCAGTGAGGAGGGAGTGGGGGCAGGGCCAAGTTGTACTGTGTGTGTGTCAATAGATGCTCAGAGCTCGGCTCAGGATCAATCCCGCATGTGTGCTGCCATAGGAAGCTGCTTCCTATGGTGGCATACAAAGAAGAGGAGGAGCTGAGAGCACCGGGGAGGGGGGAACCCCCAGAAGAGCAGGATTGGGGCCACTCTCTGTAAAAGAGCAGGTGCGTTGCGCAGAGCAGGTAAGTATGACATATTTGTTATTTAATTAAAAAAAAAAGACTTTGCAATCACTTTAAAGCGGAGCGCCACCCAAAAGGGGAAGTTCCGATTCAGGGATTGGTCCCGCTCCCCATTAAGAATTGGCACCTTTTGGGGGGGCGGGTACCCGAATTTGACAGGTACCCGCTCCCAATTCCGGTCGGTTCGCCTAGGCGATCAGAAATGGAAGGTGTCCTCCCTCCTTTCCTCCCTGTAGTGTTCTGGGACACATGACAGGTCCCAGAAGACTACAGGACCATTTATGAAGTGCAGCGCTACTAGTGCATGTGCAGTGGGTACCTGGCTGTGAAGCCGCAACCAGTCCGGGTGCCCACACTGAAGATGTCGGCCTCCTGAAAACCATGACAACCGGAGAAACAGGCTGCGGGGGACACACCACGGGACCGAGGGACAGGTAAGTGGCTGTTTTTTAAAAGTTAGCAGCTACAGTTTTTGTAGATGCTGACTTTTATTTTTTGACAGGATGAGTTGAACTCCACGTTAAAGTGGAGCTGCACCCAAAAGGGGGAAGTTCTGCTTTAAGGATTGGTCCCTCACTCCCCGTGAACAATTGGCACCTTTGGGGAGCAGGTACCCAATTTTCACAGGTACCCGTTACCACTTCTGCTCCAGCCTCCTAGACGATCGGAAGCGGAAGTTCTCCCCTTTAAGTGCTTGTCTTAATACCGACTTCCTGCAATCCAATGTACAGCAGCACTTTGACTGGGAGAGAAGGGCTAACACTCTGAGACAGTCAGAGCTGTATTGCGTTGCACAGTGATATCATGTAAACGTGCCTGCAGGAAAACTGAGAACAGGGATGACCCCATGAGTATCCTACTACTCCATTGTCCAATCAGAGGCTGGGGCAGATCCTGGATTATGCCATAATGGATAATTGCAGTGAGGTCGAGGTGCTGTCTGCTAGGGGTACCTGGATCACAAGACTAGCTAAACAGAATTCTAAATCCTTTTGGCATGTAAATACATACAGTTATTTCAGCTGTATAGTTAGTCATTTAGTCCCATGCTCATCTCCAAGACTTCTCCAGGGCGTCACCCATCCTCTGGAACTCCCTACCCCAATCTATCAGACTATTACCCACTCTACTTACCTTTAGGCGATCATTGAAAACCTATCTCTTCAGGGAAGCCTATTCCCGCCCTTTGCTAATACTGGTATCCTCTACGCTTCCAACCACTCCATCCCCCACAGTTTTACCTATTGTACCACTCACCCCTCCCTCCTAGATTGTAAGCTCCCAGGATCAGGGCCCTCCTATCCCTCTTGTATTGAACTGTATTGTTGCTGTATTGTCTCCCGTTATATTGTAAAGCGCTGAGCAAACTGTTGGCGCTATAAATCCTGTATAATAATAATAACCAGTAATTATATATCTATAGAATGTGAAACAAACCAAAATCCATATAATTGTTTGAAACTATAAAATATAAAATGTCATATATGGTATAAATCTATATGTTTCATTAATAATTACATATCTATAGATTTTAATACATTCATAGATTTATACCATATACCAACCAATAATTATATATCTATAGAATGTAATTATTAATGAAACCTATTATATGGATGACATTTGATTCATTGGATCCAGGGTCACTACCTCTGACCCATAACTTTATTTTATATTGTATTTATGTGTCATTTTAACCAATAAAAGTTCATTGTTGCTGTCAATGATCTCTGTCAACATTCAATCACAAATGAGATTTCTCTTTATGTTTCCAATATTGTGGGTTTGAGATGTTGAGCAAAAGCTCCCAGGATCAGGGCCCTCAACTCCCTCTTGTATTGAACTGTATTGTTACTGCATTGTCTCCCACTACAATGTAAAGCGCTGAGCAAACCGTTGGCGCTATATAAATCCTGTATAATAATAATAATTTACCTAAAGTTCACCTTAAATAAATAAAAAATAAGATTGGGTGCTCATTAAATTTCAGATTTTAGAAAAAATAAAAGTGTAATTAATTTGTATTGATGTATTCAGCGCAGGGATCGTTGAGCTAGGTAAGTCTTTAACATGCCAGAGATGTATTAAATAAGCAGCTTTTGATTGGCTTAGATTGCCATGCGGTACACACAGGGTTAATACCAAGCAATGGAATGAGACTTCCTGCCGTTACTGTTTCCACTCTGATAGTATCGTGTTTTCCTGTTCATGAAGATCATCAAGGCTTCGACTGCCTAACTGATATTTTTAGTAAAAGTGTCTTAGGGTACAATTTTAGGTGATTGTTATACTATTTAAAGAGCATCTTAACTCAAAAGTAAAAATGTCATCTATTGCAGCCTTGCCAGTCCTTCAATGTGGTTGGCTGTATTAGTTTTCTTTTTTTAGGCTAAGAATATATTCAGTAAGTACATAAAAATACCTGTTAATCTTGCCAGAAATCCAGTTTTCTTGTCAATTTCTGTGTATTGAACTGAAATCCCAAATAATGTTACCGGTCTTCCCCTGAATTCTTCTGTGAACCACAGGACACCTACCTTCTATGTGATGGAGATGAGGAGAAAGGGAGGTATTTGTAGTCCAAATCTTGCAAGCAGCCTGGGGTGACAACAATGCCCCCCCCCATAGATGTAGTAAGGTGAGTGAGGGTTGTCACCCTAGGACAGGAAGTGTGTTACTGGCAGGATCACCAGGTGGAAATAAAGAGGAAAAAATGTGAGAAATGAAACTAATGCAGCCGCAACATCTAAGGATTACTAAGCTGCAACATATAATATTTTTGATTTTGTGTTTCTATACACTTAGGGGTAAACAGTAATTACTTGAGCTTTGTAAGCGTGATAATATGACAGAAATAGAGTCTGTTCTGTTTGGGAATTAAATTAACCTGCCATCTCTTTCCTTAACCACCTCCCGTCTGGTCGTTGTATATAAACGGCCGGACGGTGGCAGTGCAGGGTCGGGTGGCCGTTTTTAAAAAGACATATAATAATATAAAAATGTAAAAAAAAAAATGTTTAAAAATTAGAATTTTTGGTTATAAACTAATTTTGTTTTTTTTTGTTTTTTTTTTTTTACTTAAAAGTTAATGGAGTAAATTTTGGCCAAGATTTATGATGAAAAATTATTTATTTGCAAAAGTTTATAAGAAAAACACTTTTTTGCAAAATTTTTGGACTTTTTCATTTACATAGCAAAAAAAAATTAAAATCCCAGTGGTGAATAAATACCACCAAAATAAAGCTTTACTGTCTCAAAAAAATGCTAAATTCATATGGGTACAGTGTTGCATGACCGCGCAATTGTCATTCAAAGTGTGCACTGAAAGCTGGAAATTGGCCTGGACAGGAAGGGGGTGAAAATGTCCGGACTGGAAGTGGTTAAAGCTGAACTCCAGGAATTCGGCCACTTTGTAAAATGTGCAGGCATACAATGAGTTAAGCCCAACCAGGTGCATGCCACTGGACTCCATTCTTTAACCACTTCAAGTCCGGACACTTTCACCCCCTCCCTGCCCAGGCCAATTTTCAGCTTTCAGCGCTATCACACTTTGAATGACAATTGTGCTGTCATGCAACACTGTACCCATATGAATTTTGTAGCATTTTTTTGAGACAGATAAAACTTTATTTTGGCGGTATTTATTCACCACTGAGATTTTTATTTTTTGCTATATAGATGAAAAAGTCCAAAAATTTAGAAAAAAAATGTTTTTCTTATACAATTTTGCAAATAAATAATCTTTCTTCATAAATCCTGGCCAACATTTATTCGGTTATCTTTTTAGTAAAAAAAAAAAAAAAAAAACCCAAATTAGTTTATAACCAAAAATTATAGTTTTTCATACTTTTTTAATTTTTTTAATATTATTATGTATGTTTTTTTTTTTTTGTTTTTTTTTTTAACTTACTGTCACCCTACCAGTACAGTGTCACCTTGGTGACACTGTACTACTTGTGGGGGGTGATGAAGATTTTTTTTTTTACGCTGATTGCTTTTACACCCATAAAGGCTGTAAAAGCATTCATTTCTCCTTCTCTCTGGCTACATTCTTGCAGCCATTGAGAAATACTGTGTGAGCTGTGATTGGTCACAGCTTGTCACATGGTAGAGGGCTGTTGTGAATAGCCTTGTACCATGTGACCTCTGTGATCATTCACAGATTTCACACGTAGTAAGCAATGTTGTCAGAAGTGACATCTTGCTTACCACTCTTCATGTGATCACTGATTGGCCAGTCAGTGATCACATGATCGGGACCTCACACAAAGGTCCCATACAACAATTGGTGTTTCTGCTGTGTCCTCTGGATCGCGGTGCTGCGCGCTCCCTGGGAGCACACACAAGCAGGGAGCAGGGAGGACGTTTATAAACGGCCACCCGCCCCTGCACTGCTCCCGTCCGGCCGTTTATATACATGGGTCGGACGGGAAGTGGTTAATTTACATCTGACATTTTTATGGAGCTCCAGAAGGATAGGTATCGGAAGCATTTCCAGAGCTGCAACACTGGGCCTTCTGGTCTCAGCTCCTTCAGCTGCAGAGTCACGTACAGCTGCTGTGCCCACCCCTCGCTTTCTCCTGCCCAATCACAAGGCACTTTGTGTTATGTGAACTTATTTACAAATTACACAGATTGCATATATGTTTACCTATAAAGCTGAGTTTTTACAATTGTTTTTTTTTTTCCAGAAGCATCTAATTTGTGGACCAGTGATAGTCCTCAGTCCGCAGTCCCCGGTCAGCTGCTCTCAGTATTTTCAGTAAGTTATTTTTAGAGCTAAAAAGTGTATGTTGTCTGTTATTGGTGCATCACATATAAAGTCAGTTCTCTGGTATGACGAGGTATATTATAGGCTCAGAATGTACACACGGTGCTCAGCATAAATGAGTACACCCCAACAGATTTGTCAGAAAACCTTTACTTTCAGAATCAACATTTTCTATGGGACACTATACTACAAAATCCTCCCACAAATGCCGGCCATTGATTGCAAACCAGATTTGTTAATTTGCACACACAAAAAGTATTTTTCCTAACAAATTCATTCAAGACCATGTTGCAAAAATGAATACACCCCAATGAAAATCTTGGCAGCAAAGCTAAATTTTAGACACCAAACTCCTAATTAACAAGAATTCAACTCCTAATTATTCATTAAACAGGTGTCCAGCAGACAGTTGATTATAGAAGGGCGTTACGTAACAAAGAAAACCCCTCCCCATTTCATGCTGTCAGCAATGGCACCACATGGAAGAGAAATGTCACAAGGCCAGAGAAAGAAAATTTCTTTACACAAGAAAGTTGAAAGCTACAAGAAGATAAGCAAAGCTTTACCGATCAGTCAGAATACTGTAGCAAAAGTGAGACAAAATATGGAACTGCAACCATCTCACAGAGATGTCCAGGCCATCCGTGGAAGTTAACACCTCGACAGGAGCGTCTTCTGATGAGAAGGGTTGAAGAAAATCGCCATGTAAGTTCACTGCAGTTAGCTAAGAAAAGTAGAAAGCCAAACTGGGGTTATTGTTTCCTGTGACACGATACTGCTTATACTGCTGAGGAATGGCATGCATGGGTGTCGTCCATTAAGGAAGCCTCTCCTAAAGCCCATGCTCAAAAAAAGCCCATCTAGAATTTGCCAGGGTCCATGCTGAAAAAAGGAGACTACTGGGACTCTGTACTCTGGAGTGATGAGACCAAAAGAAAAATGTTTTTGGAACTGATGGCTTCAAAACTGTATGGCATTGCAAAGGTGAGTACAATGAAAAATGCATGGTGCCTACAGAGAAACGTGGTGGTAGTGTCCTTCTGTGGGGCTGCATGAATGCTGCTGCTGGTGTCGGGGATCTGCATGTCATTGATGGTGTCATGAATTCACAGATGTGCTGCTCTATATTGAAAGTGAAGATGCTGCCATCACTCCGTTCCCTTGGTCATCGTGCACTTTTCCAACATGACAATGATTCAAAACAAACATCTAAGGCCACTGTTGCATTTCTGAAGAAGAACAGGGTGACAGTGATTCAGTGGCCAAGTATGTCTCCTGATCAGAACCCAATCCAACACCTATGGGAATTCTGTAGAGACAAGTTGAGCATCACTCTCCATCCAGCATCCAGGCTCTAAAAGAGGTCGTTCTTGAAGAATGGAAAAAGATCGATGTTGCAATATGTCGCCAACTTGCTCGTTCCATGTCTAGAAGACTCGGTGCTGTCCTTACAAATCATGGAGGTCATACAAAACACTAGATGAAGAAGTTTTTGTTGTGGGGTGGATTCATTTTGCATCAACTTCAGTAAAACTGAAGATTTTGTAATTTAAGTTATATTATTAACTTTACTGTAATGAGCTAAACAAATGTTCTAGAAAACTCAGTTTTGTCAACATTTTAGAAATTGTTCTTTGAGATATTGATTAAAATCTTCCTTTTCAAAAGGGGTGTACTCATTTATGCTGGGCACTATACCTGTGTGATTTTTAACAAATAGTCAATTATGGCTGGAGTCCAGACTTGGAGACCCTGTCACCAACATAAAAAAGGCAGGTGAAAGTAGGGAAAAATCAAGAAATTTAAATGCTTACTTGCAGCAGTTTTATCTTTCCATAAACATTTTTATTGACTTGCAATGTGCCTCTTAAATAATAGGGAATAGACTACTACAGAAAATGTAAGTTCTGTAGCACAGCCCTCTCCCTCCTTGCACATAATCTTTCCTCTTCTGGGAGTGTCTAATTGCTCTCTGTGCTGGCCCAGCTCCTCCACCCTTCCCCATACATTCCAACATAACCTTTTATGTAGCTGCTGTTGAAGGAGAAAAGTAGAATACTATAGAAAAGCAGCTCTAGACCCCCATTCATATCTCAGCCCCCCGCAACTCTGCCCCCCATTCATCTTATAGACCCCCACAGCTCTGCCCCTCCCTTCACATTGCAGTCCCTGCAGCTCTGCCTCTCCATTCACATTACAGCCCTCCTTAGCTCTCCCAACCCCCCCATTCACATTACAGCCCTCCTCTGCTCTGTCAACCCCCCCATTCGCATTACAGCCCTCCTCTGCTCTGCCAACCCCCCCCCCCATTCACATTACAGCCCTCCTCAGCTCTCTGCCAACCCCCATTCCACAGCCCTCCACCCCCCATTCACATTACAGCCCTCTTCACCTTTGCCCCCCATTCACATTACAGTCCCCTGCCATTCTACCACTGCTTTCACATTGTAGCCCCTGCATCTCTGCCCCCCATTCACTTGCCTGGCCTCTCTTCCCCCCCCCCCGCAGTTCTGCCCCCCATGCACATTGCAGCCCCTGCAGCTCTGCTACCCCTCATTCACATGAAGAGCCAGCTCCTAAATGGCGGGACCACGGCAGTCTGCATAGGACAGTGACTCGGTCTGGATCTGGGCTGCTGGTTGCCATTTAGAGATGTCTGCTATAGGGTGTCACTTGAATGACAGCTCTGAGTTTTCTGGGGCCGCTAACATCACACCAAGAGGATGGCACCCAGCAGCAGTCTAGGGGCTTCTATATGAATTTGGCTTGCTATTTAAAGTTCTTCTAGTCCCTCTTCAGAAAGACTCAGACTGGGAAAGGGAGGGAGAGGTATTGGGGCCAATCCGCTGTCCTGCTTTCACATATATTGTATTTGCAGGAAATTAGAGCAAATAGATGGCCCTATCAGTGTAGTGCTGCTCCTTCACTGCCAAATCACAGGCTGGGGGAAGAGAAATATCAGGTCACCGACTGGTGGTGCTGTGTGGCAGGACTATGTAAATCTCATCACTGGGTGGACAGAAATACAAATCCTTTGCCAGATAAGACAGCTCCCTTATATGTATTTATTCTGTGTATTTAGCTGTTCCTTGGAGTTCAGCTTTAACATATCAGACCTGACGAACGTGCTCTATTTTTCTTCTTCCACAGTTTGCGGAAGGCCCAGATGCACAAAGCTTCCGTCATGAAGTACGGGGACTGTGTTCAAGGTTATACTTCTTTTCTGTGAATTCATTACAGAGTCATGTCATGGGGTGATGAGACTTGTGGTTCTATAAAAGCTAAATAATTGCATGTTGTCTCATATGAAACACCAGTCTAGTGTTTTACTATTGTTTAATCTTCAGTTCTCTGTGGGGTGTCCATTTTACAACCTCTGATCTAGTAGTCACATGACTGCCAGCCAGTTTACTAAAGAAGCCAATGACATCACTTAGTGATGACATCACTTACTGGCTGCCAGTGCCTAATTGGTCTGTCCTGTATACATATTGGCTGCCAGTGCCTGATTGGTCTGTCCTATATATATATTGGCTGCCATTGCCTAATTGGTCTGTCCTGTTTACATATTGGCTGCCTGTGCCTAATTGGTCTGTCCTGTATATATATTGGCTGCCAGTGCCTAATTGGTCTGTCCTGTATACATATTGGCTGCCAGTGCCTAATTGGTCTGTCCTGTATACATATTGGCTGCCAGTGCCTAATTGGTCTGTCCTGTATACATATTGGCTGCCAGTGCCTGATTGCCTAATTGGTCTGTCCTGTATACATATTGGCTGCCAGTGCCTAATTGGTCTGTCCTATATATATATTGGCTGCCTGTGTCTGATTGGTCTGTCTTGTATACATATTTGCTGCCTGTGTCTGATTGGTCTGCCCTGTATACATATTGGCTGCCAGTGCCTACTTGGTCTGTCCTGTATATATACAGTATATTGGCTGCCTGTGTCTGATTGGTCTGTCCTGTATACATATTGGCTGCCTGTGTCTGATTGGTCTGTCCTGTATACATATTGGCTGCCAGTGCCTAATTGGTCTGTCCTGTATATATATTGGCTGCCAGTGCCTAATTGGTCTGTCCTGTACTGTATACATATTGGCTGCCTGTGTCTGATAGGTCTGTTGTGTATGTATATTATCTGCTGCTGGTGCCTGATGATTTGTCTATTCTGTATACATATTGGCTGCCGCTGCCTGATGATTGGTCTGTTCTGTATACAGGTGACAGCTGGGATGAAATTATCAACTCTCTCACCTCAGCTGCAATCAAATTTGAGTTGATGGCAACCCCTCATCGTACACAGGTATAATAGGGGTCAACGCACCTTCAGATTCATCCTTACTTTTTTATTAGGTGTTTACTACGTTTTACAATGTCTACAGAATACAAATGTCAAGTATTACATAGGGTTGTCACAAGCAATGCGAAGTAGAAAACAAGTAGGTATGATATAGGTCAATCAAAATGACGTTCACTGCAGAATGCAAACACTGCAGAATGCAAACAATATATATAATGTTTGCCTAAAGCAGTGTTTCTCAACTCCAGTCCTCATGGACCCCCAACAGGTCATGTTTTCAGGATTTCCCTCGGATGAAACAGCTGTGGTAATTACTACAACAGTGAAACTGATCAAATCACCTGTGCAAAATAATGGAAATCCTGAAAACATGACCTGTGGGGGGTCCATGAGGACTGGAGTTGAGAAACACTGGCCTAAAGTAACATTCAGCCCGGGTTCACATATATGCAGTGCGGTATATCGCATGTGATTCGCACAGGAACCGCACTGCATTCCTGTTCAAATCACATGTGATTTGTGTGCGGGGCGATCGGAGTCGTACATTTTGTATGGCTCTAATCGCACCGCACCCGCATCAAAAACGTGCAGGACCCTTTTATTGGTCTGCACTAGAATCGGATCGCATGGGTATTCACACCTATGCGATCTGATTCTGCACATCGCACCGCGTTTTTCGGACCACGTTCAGGGTGTTGTTAACTTAACATACACACCCGCAGCGGTTCGCATGAACGGGGTGCGATTCTGATGCGGTGCGGAATTCACTGCATCAGTGTGAACCAGAACTAAAGTAAAAAAAAAAAACTGAGGTAACCATTACCTGCTCTGTGCAATGATATTGCACCGAAAGGTCACTTTCCTCCTTTTCTTGGAGTCCCAGCTTGTGCTGTATTCTCTTCCTTTGGGCACCTCCTATAGCAAGCCAGATGCTAAAGAGGTCCCTGTGCATTCACGCTGATGTTGGGTTCCAAACTGAACTGCATGCACACAGGACTGGCAAGTCATGCCCCTGCTCCCTCCTCTTAGGAATTTTAAAGATCGCAGCAGGAGACTATGTCCGCTGCCCTCCAGTTTCTTGTGTGAAACCAGGAAGTGAGGGGGGCAATGCTAGAGACGTTACATGGTGTCAGGTAAGAGGGTGGAGGGGGAATGGTAGGACAGGTAGTGGGGTGGTTTTTACCTTCATGCAGAGAATGCATTAAGGTAAAAAAAACATTTAGCCCCTGGTTCACACAATAGCTCACATGAATTGCACGGGAACCGCACCTTATTTCCGTGCAATGTAAGTCCATTCATTTTGAATGGGCATAAATCATACCACATAGCACCAAAAACGTGCAGGCACTTTTTTTTGAGCCGCACTGCAACCAGATCCACATGGTCATTTTTGCTGCGTGTTTGACTTGCGTTTGACGTATTTTTACGCCTTGCTTCACATATATGCGGCCGTGCGGGCCACGTTTTGTGCAGTCATTTGAATGGACTCCCGTGCCCCGTGACACGCAGGGAAGAAAGCCCTGCACTTCTTCTGAAAATGCAGCCGATGTTCCCAGTACGGTTGCGTTTTCCATTGCGGGTGGCGTGCCGTTAGAACTAATGGCACCCGCCTGCGAGTCCGCATTCCTCTGTGCGGGTGGTGCGGCTGCACGGATTTTTGTGCAGATCCACAGCGGCACCACCCGCACAGATGTGAACCTAGCCTAAAGCCCGAAACAACAGTTGCATTCTGTTTGGAATAAATGGCTCTATAATATTAGGTTACATTTGCACTATTCACCGGCAGTTCTGGATGTTCATCCGGCCAATGGGGTGTAAAGGAATGATTTGCTTGGCTTCTCCCATTGTTCTGAATGAGGATTACTCCTCTTATTGGGACATGTGATGGAATGAGACATGGGAATACTTTCTGTTCTAAGAAGTCTTTACTGTGCTACACACATGTAATATTAATAAAGCCTGATCTTATCGTTTGATCCAATTAAAAGTCTTTTGTTTTGAATTTACGTCCAGGTAAACCTGAATTTAGAGGAAGCAAACATTACAACAAAAGGAACAAAGAGTGGGGCATTTGTGATGTATAACTGTGCCCGGCTCTCCACGCTGTTTGACAGCTACAACAATGCCGTCAGCCAAGGTACAGAGTCCAGAGGGTTACATACGGACAGAAAAGTCAGAGGTGAGGGGTGGGAGGTAGTGTGGGAGTGCTAAGGGGCAGAGGGTGATGTGGGAGTGCTAAGGGGCAGAGGGTGATGTGGGAGCGCTAAGGGGCAGAGGGTGATGTGGGAGTACTAAGGGGCAGAGGGTGATGTGGGAGTACTAAGGGGCAGAGGGTGATGTGTGAGTGCTAAGGAGCAGAGGGTGATGTGGGAGTACTAAGGAGCAGAGGGTGATGTGGGAGTACTAAGGGGCAGAGGGTGATGTGGGAGTGCTAAGGGGCAGAGGGTGATGTGGGAGTGCTAAGGGGCAGAGGGTGATGTGGGAGTGGCAAGGGGCAGAGGGTGATGTGGGAGTGGCAAGGGGCAGAGGGTGACGTGGGAGTGCTAAGGGGCAGAGGGTGACGTGGGAGTGCTAAGGGGCAGAGGGTGACGTGGGAGTGCTGAGGGGCAGAGGGTGACGTGGGAGTGCTGAGGGGCAGAGGGTGACGTGGGAGTGATGAGGGGCAGAGGGTGATGTGGGAGTGATGAGGGGCAGAGGGTGATGTGGGAGTGATGAGGGGCAGAGGGTGATGTGGGAGTACTAAGGGGCAGAGGGTGATGAGGGAGGGAGTGGCAAGGAGCAGAGGGTGACGTGGGAGTGGCAAGAGGCAGAGGGTGACGTGGGAGTGCTAAGGGGCAGAGGGTGACGTGGGAGTGCTAAGGGGCAGAGGGTGATGTGGGAGTGCTAAGGGGCAGAGGGTGATGTGGGAGTGCCAAGGGGCAGAGGGTGATGTGGGAGTGCCAAGGGGCAGAGGGTGATGTGGGAGTGAGTGACAAGGGGCAGAGGGTGATGTGGGAGTGGCAAGGGGCAGAGGGTGACGTGGGAGTGGCAAGAGGCAGAGGGTGACGTGGGAGTGCCAAGGGGCAGAGGGTGACGTGGGAGTGGCAAGGGGCAGAGGGTGACGTGGGAGTGGCAAGGGGCAGAGGGTGACGTGGGAGTGCCAAGGGGCAGAGGGTGACGTGGGAGTGCCAAGGGGCAGAGGGTGACGTGGGAGTGGTAAGGGACAGAGGGTGACGTGGGAGTGGCAAGGGGCAGAGGGTGATGTGGGAGTGGCAAGGGGCAGAGGGTGATGTGGGAGTGGCAAGGGGCAGAGGGGGATGTGGGAGTGGCAAGGGGCAGAGGGGGATGTGGGAGTGCTAAGGGGCAGAGGGTGATGTGGGAGTGCTAAGGGGCAGAGGGTGATGTGGGAGTACTAAGGGGCAGAGGGTGATGTGGGAGTGCTAAGGGGCAGAAGGTGATGTGGGAGTACTAAGGGGCAGAGGGTGATGTGGGAGTGCTAAGGGGCAGAGGGTGATGTGGGAGTACTAAGGGGCAGAGGGTGATGTGGGAGTGCTAAGGGGCAGAAGGTGATGTGGGAGTGCTAAGGGGCAGAGGGCGATGTGGGAGTGGTCACTTCATCGTCTTCTCCTTCCTTTTTTAGGATTGTACCCAGAATTTCCACCAGCTGCTGAATTCAACTATTCCAGCCTGAGTGAGGAGGTGAGGATGTGGAGATTTCATCCCTGACAATATATGTAATTTTTTTTTTCCGCAAAAATAAAAAAACACGTAATACTTACCTGCTCTGTGCAGTGGTTTTGCACGGAGTGGCCCCAAACCCCCCCCCCCCCTTTCTATTGTCCCCTCCAGTGCTCTCCATTCCTCTTCTGTGAGTGACCCCATAGCAAGCCACTTGTTATATGAACACTTGTGTGGACTCACTACCAGGCCGGGCTATGTGCATCTATAGACACACACAGCATGCTCAGCCTTGCTCCCCTCTCACAGGATTAGACTGACAACAATAGGAGCCAATGGCTCCTGCTGCTATCAGGAAAGCCTTTGAGACCAGGAAGAGGGGAGAAGAGCTTTTGTGGCTGGGATAGAGCTGGATTGAGAGAAGACTTGTTTAAGGGGGGAGGTGCTGAGGGGAAGCTGCTATCAAAAGGTTTTTGTAAAAGTGGTTGTAAAAAACCTTCTCTTTGTAGCAGCCCCTCCTAACAGTCACCAAAGCCCCCTCTCGATCCAGCAATGTGTACTGGAGTCTCGGCTATCCCGGGACTGAGGACTCGGCTGTCTCCTCATTGGCTGAGACACAACCGGGAGCCATTGGTCTCCACTGCTGTCAATCACAGGTGTGAGCCAATGGGAAGAGAGAGGAGGTGGGGCCAAGCCACAACTCTGTGTGTTTGAATATACACACGGAGCAGCAGGTGCCCCCATAGCAAGCTGTTTGCTGTGGGGCACCCAACAGGAGAGAGGGGGCAGGAGCACCGGCGGGGGACTTGAGAAGAGGTGGATTCAGGCTGCTTTGTGCAGGTAAGTATAACATGTTGTTTTTTTTTTGTTTTGTTTTGTTTTTTTATATTTAGGCCTTTAGAATTACTTTAGAGTAGAGAATGCATGAAAGTGGTTGTAAACCCTTACTTATATCCAGTGAAGTGACTGACCTCAGGTGATACAAGTTGAGATGAAACAAATCCTCCTACAAATCCTCCTACATAAATCCTCCTACATAAGTTGTACCTGTTTATCTGCAGAATATTCTTGTCTATAGCCATTCAAAGTGCAGAATTTATACAGCTTGTCTGAGCTTTTCAGAAAGCAGGGAGCTGAGTTTACAATTGGCAGAGCTCAGTGAAAGCTGATTGGAGGGAAGGGATTCCTCCCCCCCCCCTTCACACAGTGCACAAGAGCAGAGTTGAGGCTGTCAATCACAGGCTGTGTGCTGGAGCTCCAGACCCCCTCACCATTTTTCTCTTGGTGTCAGGAGAGCTTGTCAGAATTGACTCACGCTGATAGCAGAGGAAAGAGGCAGCATACAGAAATGACACTTAGTGCTCTGGCTCAAGACAAATACACATTATAGAGGGATATGCTTTATTCATATTTCATGTCTGAGGTTGACATCCATTTTAAGATTAAAAAAAAAACCTTTAGCACCACTTTAACTATTTTATTGCCAGAGGTCATTGGAACCTAGATGTTCACTCCAAATTTTGCACCATCAGTCGCTCTATAGCTGGCCATACACTATACAATCTGACTGTACAATCTCTTTTAGATCTTCCAATCAATATATAGTCCAAGGGACAGCCTAAAGAGATACAGACTGAGTGGACCGTTTAGATGTGTCCTTTTATTACATAGTATTCGTTGCTGAAATGCATTATTGAGTCAGTGTATTCTCCAAAACAAATATAATGTAACTGCCCAACAGATAACCTGATATACACTGGAAATAGGAGGGGGGGGGGTTTACTAAAATTGGAGCACTAGGAATCTGCCGCAACTGTGCATAGTAACCAATCAGCTTCTAACTTCAGCTTGTTCATTAAAGCTTTGACAATAAAACCTGGAAGCTGATTGGTCTCTTTGCAGAGCTGCACCAGATTTTTCAGTACATAACCCCCAATGTAACCTTATATACATATACGCATTTTTCTATGTCCACCAAAACTTCAATACAAACAGACTATACCAAAAATTGATAAAATAGGATGGTTGAAGTAATTACTTCTAAAATACAGTATATTGCCAAAATTATTCCCCCCCCCCCCTCCAAATAATTGGATTCAGTTGTTCCAATCCCCTCCATGGACACAGGTGTATACAATCAAGCCCCTAGGCATGCAGACTGCTTCTACAAACATTGGTGAAAGAATGGGTTGCTCTCAGGAGCTCAGTGACTCCAAGCGTGGTCCCGTGATAGGTGGTCACCTGTGCAATAAGTCCATCCGTGACATTTCCTGGCTACTAAATATTCCACGCTCAACTGTTAGTGGGATTATAACAAAGTGGAAGCAACTGGGAACAGCAACTCAGCCACCAAGTGGTAGGCCACGTCACATGACAGAGCGGGTTCGGCGCATGCTGAAGTGCACAGTGCACAGAAGTCGCCAACTGTCTGCAGGGTCAATAGCTAAAGACCTCCAAACTTGGTGTGGCCTTCAGATGAGCCCAACAACAGTGCATAGAGAGCTTCATGGAATGGGTTTCCATGGCCGAGCAGCTGCATCCAAGCCTTACATCACCAAGTGCAATGCAAAGCGTCGGATGCAGTGGTGTAAAGCACGCCACCACTGGACTCTAGAGCAGTGGAGACGTGTTCTCTGGAGTGACCAATCACGCTTCTCTGTCTGGCAATCTGATGGACGTGTCTGGGTTTGGCAGTTGCCAGGAGAACGGTACTTGCCAGACTGCATTGTGCCAAGTGTAAAGTTTGGTGGAGGGGGGATTATGGTGTGGGGTTGTTTTTTAGGGGTTGGGCTTGGCCCCCTAGTTCCAGTGAAGGGAACTCTTAAGGCGACAATTTCATGCTTCCAACTTTGTGGGAAGAGTTTGGGGATGGCCCCTTCCTGTTCCAACATGACTACTCACCAGTGCACAAAGCAAGGTCCATAAAGACATGGAGGAGCCAGTTTGGGGTGGAGGAACTTGACTGTCCTGCACAGAGTCCTGACCTCAACCCCATAATTCAACCTTTGGGATGAATTAGAGCGGAGACTGCGAGCCAGGCCTCCTCCCCCGACATCAGTGCCTGACCTGACAAATGTGCTTCTGGAAGAATGGTCCAACCTTCCCATAGACACCCTCCTAAACCTTGTGGACGGCCTTCCCAGAAGAGTTGAAGCTGTTATAGCTGCAAAGGGCGGGGCCAGCTCAATATTGAACCCTACGGACTAAGACTGGGAGGCCATTAAAGTTCACGTGCGGGGAAAGGTTGGCCGACCAATACTTTTGGCAATATCGTGTACAGGGGCAGACTGACAACTCATGGGGCCTCCGGGCCATAGGGGATCATGGGGCCCCTGGGTCCTTGCTCACACTCAAAGCACACCCAAAAATGCCTATAAAAGGTACCAGGGACATTTCATGGGCCCCCTACTGACCCTGGGCCCTCGGGCAGTGCCTGAGTGCTCGAATGGTCAGTCCGCCCCTGGTTGTGTACGTGAAGCGGCATTTAATCTACAATGCAGTGTAGTGCCATGGCTTTGCCAGGCTTTCAATGTAGCAGGCTCTGGCACCATCTAGTGACTTCACCTACAAACTGCATGAACTGTCTATATATAGATGTTTTGGATGGTCCCTTATTAAGGAGAACACATGTCGCTCACGTCTCCTGTTTTGTCACACAGGGAGAATGGCTCCTGCTCTTTAATTACATCCTGATGTTCCCAGAGGTCCTAAGCGAGGCGGCACAGATCTCACTGACGTCCCCAGGCATCCGGGTCACAGCCAGCACCGAAGCGGTAAGAGGTCTTAGGGGAAGGTTTCATTGTGTGCAGGTGAGAGGGGTAGGATCCCCGTATGCTGATACCTCCTGTAGGTCATGACCTCATTCTGCACTGAACTCTCAACGCAGACATACCTGTGACAGGGTAGCTTTATACGTTCTTCACATTTTACTTTACAAAAAGGGTTTAGAAAGAAGGGTAGCTTAAGTAATCATAAGTTCTTCAAAAAAAGAGCATTGAAAGGCATTGGATGGAATAGCCAAACCCACGAAAAACTATATTCATTGTAATAGGGTACCGGTGTAAAATTCACGCTATACATGATTTGCTCAGACGGGGGCATACTTTTTGTTTCATTTTAAACTGCCTAGCTGGACGTTTGTCTTTTCCTTTTCACTATTTATTATAAATGTGTGTGGGGGGGTTTCTTTTTGGCTGACTCCCTGACTTCAATGTTATCAAAGTAATTGATCAAGATCAATTATGTAATTAGGCATCCTGACCTCACTCAGACTGTATACACCCACCCAGGGGCGAACTGACAACTCATGGGGCCCCCGGGCAATAGGGGATCATGGGGCCCCTGTGTCCTTGCACAAACTCAAAAAAGCCTATGAAAAAGGTACCAGGGGCATCTCATGGGGCCCCCTACTGACCCCGGGCCCTCAGGCAGTGCCCGAGTTTCCAAATGGTCAGTCCGCCCTTGCACCCACCAGGCTTTGCCAACCTTTTCAACACAGAGGAACCCTTATAATAACTTTCCGGTCTCAGAGAACCCCGGCTAAAAAGATAATTAGTGTCAGTAGGAACTTTTCCGAAAGGCAGAAACTGCTCAAGGAACCCCTAGGAGCCTTTGGATGAACCCTGGTTGAGAAATTCCAGGTATACACAGCCCAAGTCAGTGACTTGTATAGTACTGAAGCCAGAAGTTCAGTATATCAGCACAGTCCTTTGTAGTGTCAACCAGGAGCAAGTGTGGCAGGATGGCAATGCAGAAGCACAATTAAAAGATAGCTGTCTCCCCATAACAGGAAGTACCTGAACAAGGATCCCCATGGCAGGATCATTCTTTAACCCCTTCCCACCCATCCTGGTGTCCCCTTTAAAAGCTTTTAAAGCCCAAGGGGGTGGGATGGATCGATCACCATGTGACCACAGTGTTCACGTGATCAGAAGCTGGTCCCGCCGGCTACAGATGTTTTCAGCAGCTTGGTCTTTGTGCTGGGAAAAAGCACGAGGGGGCGCCTCTAAGTGCAGCACATAAAACGCTTTATTAAAAACATCAGTATTGCACTCGCATATGTAGATGAATAGTGCGCTTGTAACATGATGCAGGCCTCAATGACAGATCCGCAAGTCCATCGGTGGCAGTATGGAAGATTGAAGCCGGGTCAGAATGGTAGTAGACCACGGTAAACCACCGCTGTAGGAAATCCTGACAGACCCGGGACCAGAAGTGACCACTGCGGAATGCACGACCGGCCAGGACGTCAGGAGAATGAGGATCCAGGACCTGAGTTGCCAAGGTGATGCATTTCGGAGCACCACTTGGCTCCTTTCTCAAACCTGATTGGCAGAGAGGGCTGTGTTCTAAATGAATTAAAACACAGGCTCCTCTGTTAATCAGGTTTGAGAAAGGAGCTGATTGGTGCTCCGAAGCGTGTTCCCTTGGCAACTCAGGTCCTGGATCCTCCTTCTCTTGACGTCACGTCTAGTCGTGCGTTCCACGGTGGTTCCGGTGCCACTTCCGGTTTCGCGTCTGTCAGGATTTCTCACAGTGGTGGTTTACCGTGGTCTGCTACCACTCTGATCCGGCTTCTATCTTCCATACTGCCACCGATGGACTTGCGGATCCGTTATTGAGGCCTGCTTCATGTTACAAGCGCACTATTCATCCACATATGTGAGAGCAATACTGATTTTTTTTAATAGTGTTTTATATACTGCACTTAGAGGCGCCCCCTTGTGCTTTTTCTTGTTCACACAGAAGGGATCCATTCCAGTTTTCTTGGTGGAGCTGCCTACATGGTGTACAATTATTTTATTGACTATTGTAGAAGTTTGGGCTTTATGGACTTATATATTTGTTACTAATTTGGCTCCTATGTTCCATGTGGACCAGGGTTGCGCCATAGAATTTTATTAATGTCTGTGTGCTGGGAGCGTGCAGGGAGCACGCTGCTGGCACTTAAACATTTCCCTTCAGCAATGCACTAAATGTGCTACAGTGGCGTAAAATGGTTAATGAAAGGCATAGATTAAAAATATTGAAAACCATGTTTGTAATGACATTAACATGTGAAAGTGGAATTACACTTCATCTGAGCACCACAAACCAAAAATGTTATTTCAATTCATTTTTAATATTAAACGTAAACTCCCCCATCCATTCATGTCTTCATGCTTTATTTTGTTCAGAAATCACTCTGAAAAACACGTTCTAGCATTTTTGTCCATGGTCATGATTCATGTACCGTGTTTCCCCGAAAATAAGACATCCTCCGAAAATAAGACCTACTTACAGGTTTCCTTCTGGGTGAAATATAAGGCATCCCCCCCGAAAATAAGGCCCCCAGGCTTTGTCTCGTAATAAAAATTAATTTACCGTAAACTGGTTGCTAGGGCCGCCCCAACCGGCGTCTAGCAACCAGTGACGTCACTGCTGTGTGGAGGCGGAGCGGAGGTCGGAGTGAGCGGGAGAGAGATCCGTGTAGAAGAACAGGAGGATCAGAGCGGACGGGACGCAGCGAAGGTGGTGAGTGCTGGTCTGTCTCTGGTGACACCACCCTCATGATGACTGAAGGTTCTCAGTCAGTGGCAGACCCTGCTCCAGCCCAGGTCCAGGCCCCAGCCAGCCCAGTGACAGTCCCAGGGGGGAAATGTCTGATAAAGGGGTGGGGGGGATGTCTGGTGAAGGTGTTCAGTGGCACAGGGGAGGGGGATCACTTAAAATGACACAGGAGGATCAGAGGGGGCAATCAAAATGACACAGGAGGATCAGAGGGGACAATCAAAATGACACAGGAGGATCAGAGGGGACAATCAAATTGACACAGGAGGATCAGAGCGGATGGGACGCGGCGAAGGTAGTGAGTGCTGGTCTGTCTCTGGTGACACCACCCTCATGATGACTGAAGGGTCTCAGTCAGTGGCAGACCCTGCTCCAGCCCAGGTCCAGGCCCCAGCCAGCCCAGTGACAGGCCCCAGGGGGGAAATGTCTGATAAAGGGGTGGGGGGGATGTCTGGTGAAGGTGTTCAGTGGCACAGGGGAGGGGGATCACTTAAAATGACACAGGAGGATCAGAGCGGACGGGACGTGGCGAAGGTGGTGAGTGCTGGTCTGTCTCTGGTGACACCACCCTCATGATGACTGAAGGTTCTCAGTCAGTGGCAGACCCTGCTCCAGCCCAGGTCCAGGCCCCAGCCAGCCCAGTGACAGTCCCCAGGGGGGAAATGTCTGATAAAGGGGTGGGGGGGATGTCTGGTGAAGGTGTTCAGTGGCACAGGGGAGGGGGATCACTTAAAATGACACAGGAGGATCAGAGGGGACAATCAAAATGACACAGGAGGATCAGAGGGGACAATCAAAATGACACAGGAGGATCAGAGGGGACAATCAAATTGACACAGGAGGATCAGAGCGGATGGGACGCGGCGAAGGTAGTGAGTGCTGGTCTGTCTCTGGTGACACCACCCTCATGATGACTGAAGGGTCTCAGTCAGTGGCAGACCCTGCTCCAGCCCAGGTCCAGGCCCCAGCCAGCCCAGTGACAGGCCCCAGGGGGGAAATGTCTGATAAAGGGGTGGGGGGGATGTCTGGTGAAGGTGTTCAGTGGCACAGGGGAGGGGGATCACTTAAAATGACACAGGAGGATCAGAGGGGACAATCAAAATGACACAGGAGGATCAGAGGGGGCAATCAAAATGACACAGGAGGATCAGAGGGGGCAATCAAAATGACACACAATGACAAAATAAGACATCCCCTGAAAATAAGACCTAGCGCATCTTTGGGAGCAAAAATTAATATAAGACACTGTCTTATTTTCGGGGAAACAGGGTAGCATTTACTTTCTGGAATCCCTCAGCCCTTAGCTCAGGCATGCGGGCAGGAGGATGTGCTTAGCTGAGAAACCCCCTCCTCCCCTTATGAAGACTCCTGGGATGTATGACATCATTTGCCTAGGTATGGAAACCAGGAAGTAACTGAAGAAATGTAAAAAAAAAAAGAAAAACAAGTAAATATGATATACATTCCTATCTATTTACTAATGCTGGCAGCATAAGGGTTAGAAGGCTGGATGAGAGAATGAAGTTCAACTTTAAAGTTTCTATGATATTTTAGCGGATGGACTTAGACCTGTTTTCGAACTGGACCAAGTTTCTTCTCTAATGTGAATATTCGTTTGGTTCTAGATATGTAAATTCCTCGTCAATCTCAGTATGGACTTCAGCTGCTACTATAACAGAGTGCATATCCTGGGGGTAAGTGACGTTCCATAACTGCACCTCTTCAAGGATATCCGAACCCAAAAACAAAACTTTAATTGAATGCAGCCTACCTTGTAGTTCTCACATTTGGTTGGATGTATTTGTTTATGATTTTTAGGCTAAAGCCGTGATACACTCGATCAGAAAATTGTACGAAAAATACTGCTTTCGAAGCGATTGTGCGATAATCTGATCGTTCGTACGCAGCTTTCGTCCGAAATTATTTGAAGGGACAAACGTGAAAATTTTTCTTGTACGATACTAGATTGGACGATTTTTAATTATTATTATACAGTATATAGCGCCAAAAGGTATGCTCAGCGCTGTACATTATAGTGGGGTACAGTACAATACAGTAACAATACAATACACGAGGGGTTAGAGGGCCCTGCTCTTTTGAGCTTACAATCTAGGAGGGAGGGGGTAGAGGTACAGGAAGAAGTGGCTGTGGGGGATGGAGTGGTAGGAGGAGTGGAGGAGATTGGCTGTTAGGTGAGGGTGGGGTAGGCTCCCCTGAAGAGATGGGTTTTCAGGAGGAGGGTAGGTGACAGTCTGATGGATTGGGGTAGAGAGTTCCAGAGGATGAGGGAAGTCCTGGAGAAGTCCTGCAGTCGGGCGTGGGAGGTGGAGACCAGGGAGCTAGAGAGTAGGAGGTCCTGTGAGGAGCGAAGAGTACGGGTTGGGTGGTATTTGGGTATCAAGTCGGTGAGGTAGTTTGGGGCAGCGTTATGAATGGCTTTGTATGTCAATGTTAGTAGTTTGAATTTAATGCGTTGGGCATCAGTACAGTTTTCATCCGAAAGTACAATACAAATACATTACGTCACTTCCGAGTTTTTATTCCGTTGTACAAGAATTTTTGTAACTTAACCCCTTGGCACCGGCGCCTCCCGGCCCTTTAAGGGTTTCAGAAGCCGGGAGGCGGGGTGGGGTTTAGTGTCATGTAACCGCCGTGACACGCCGTCACATGATCGGGAAAGGTTCCGATCGAAAGGAGGTCGGGACCTTTCCGTGAGTACGGGACATGTGTGCTGGGAGCACGCAGGGTGCGCGCTCTCAGCACATATGTTTTTTTTCTAATAGAACGCAAATGTGCGGCGGCTCGGCGTCTAGGCCCAGACGCCGGGAGGCCGCACATTTGTGTTCGGCCGGCGCCAAGAGGTTAAGTAACCTCTTCACTTTCGATATGAGAGTAGCATGCAAGAAAAAAAAAAGGATGATCATTTGTCCGATATTCTCTCTCTGTACGGGGCTTTCATTTTCAGCAAGTACAGAAAATAGCCGGTTGATCCTGCCAGAATCTAACTACCTGTGCACCAAACTGATATATAAAACATTTTTTTTAGTTTTTCTGGCTACCTTTTGTGAACTACTAAAGTACGATCTCCTATGTAATTATTATTATTAATTATTATTATTATACAGGATTTATATATTATTATTATTATACAGGATTTTATATATTATTATTATACAGGATTTATATATTATTATTATTATACAGGATTTATATATATTATTATTATACAGGATTTATATATTATACAGGATTTTATATTATTTATACAGGATTTATATACAGGATTTATATATTATTATATATATTATTATTATATAGGATTTATTATATTATACAGGATTTTATTATTATTATTTATATAGGATTTATGGCGCGCCAACAGTTTGCTCAGCGCTTTACAATATAACGGGAGACAATACAGCAACAATACAATTCAATACAAGAGGAATAGAAGGGCCCTGATCCTCAGAGCTTACAATCTAGGAGTCAAGATGAGTGGAGGAGGAGATAGTAATCCAGATCAGAGCCTAGGATAGCATCCATGTCTCCTCCCATTGATCCATTGGTGTGAGTGGGTGAGCATTGCCACTCTTTAACAGAAAGAATGTTAATGGCAGGATCACAGATAGGGAAAAAAAAAAAAAGCTTGAAAAATGAAAACTAATGCAGCCGCCACATCTAAGGACCAGTAAATTTAATTATATGAAATGTTTGTTTTTGGGCTTGGATATGCTTTAAGTCTAGGTTCACATCTGAGTGGGTGAATGAAGGAGTGTAACAGCACAGCTTCCAGCACCCACAGAGAAAATGTGTTGCTGCTTAGGAGATGCAAAGGGAAACCATTAATCCTAATGGCACCCCCATGCACTGAAAACCACGAGCTGGGAACTGCGCTGCACTATGCGGATTCCCTGTGGACGTATTTTTAGAATAGACGCGGGGATCTTTTCTCTTTGTTTTTGAGGACGTACAGCAGCCCATTCCATTGAATGGACTGCTCTGCCTGAGCAAATGTGCCGCCCGTATAAATGTGAACCAGGGGGTACATCTGTATTCTGGGGAGATTTTAAAATCGCCCTTCCAGTGCCCCCATCTTTCTTCAAGGGTTAATTGCTGGCTTCCACTAACCCAACATATAAAATTCAAAATACTAACCACAGCTAACAAAGCCATCCACAACACTGCCCCCAGCTACATCGCCAATCTCATCTGCAGATATCTCCCAAATCGCCCACTCCGCTCCTTCCAAGATAACTCCTTCTCCAGCTCCCTCATCACCTCCTCCCACACTCGCCTCCAGGACTTCTCCAGAGCCTCTCCCATCCTCTGGAACTCCCTACCACAGCATGTCCGGTTAGCCCCCACCCTGTCTGCCTTTAGGCGATCTTTGAAAACTCACTTCTTCAGGAAAGCCTACCCCACCTCCACCTAAGAACTGTACTTGAATCACCTCCCCCAGATCATCCCCCGCAGCCGTCACCTTTTGTATCAACTCCCCCTTCCTTTAGATTGTAAGCTCCATGAGCCGGGCCCTCCTATTCCTTCTGTACTGAAATGTATTGTAATTGTACTGTCTCCGTTATATTGTAAAGCGCTGAGCAAACTGTTGGCGCTATATAAATCCTGTATAAAATCCTGTATAATAATAATAATAATTGCCTGTATAATTAATATAATATTGCTCGATTTTATCTAGAGTATCATTAAAAAGCACATATAGCCACCTTATCCCTCGCTCCCGCAGGCTTCCTTCTTCTTCCTTGCCTTTTTGGCGCTCTGGCGGACACAGTGTGATGCCGATTGATGTACAATGCAGTTCTAGCAGTCCTTCTTTATAAATGAGGATGCCAAGGGCTTGCCCACAACCCAGAGCATCGGTGGGAAGAGGAGAGGGGTAGCTGCCAGGGGAGCGTGGGATAAAACAGATTTTCAATGGTTCCCTGGACAAAGGGGAGCACTGTCAGTGCAACTTCCCATTGCCCAACGGATAAAATTCAAAACATTAACAATGACATATAAAGCCATTTATAACTCTGCCCCAAATTACATCACCGATCTTGTCTCCAAATATCACCCAAACCGTCCTCTCCGCTCCTCACACATGATCTCCTGCTCTCTAGCTCCCTTGTCTCCTCCTCCCATGCTCGTCTCCAGGACTTCTCCAGAGCTTCCCCCATCCTCTGGAACTCTCTACCCCAATTTATCAGACTATCGCCTACTCTGCTCACTTTTAGGCGATCTCTGAAAACCTCTCTCTTCAGGGAAGCCTATCCTGCCCTCAGCTAATAATGGAATCTTCTACTCTTCCAACCAGTCCATCCCCCACAGTTATTACTTTTTGTACCACTAGCTCCTCCCTCCTAGATTGTAAGCTCCCAGGATCAGGGCCCTCCTATCCCTCTTGTATTGAACTGTATTGTTGCTGTATTGTCTCCCGTTATATTGTAAAGCGCTGAGCAGACTGTTGGCGCTATATAAATCCTCTATAATAATAATAGTCTATTTTTTTTTGCTATTCAATTTTATTCTATTCTATTTTCTGTTCTATTATTTTCTATTATATATTGTTCTATTCTATTTTTTTATAAATCCTGTATAATAATAATAATAACTTAAAGTACCATTGTGACACTGTGTTCTTGGGCTTCTGTTCCCCCTCCAGGAGCCGTTACCTCACCTCTTTGGTTTGATGTTTGCTCGCCTACAGCTGATGAACGGTATTAGAAGTTTGCTGCATTCTGCATTGTCTACATTACATCTACAACCTCCAGCCCAGATATGAGTGTTGTGAGAACTCATACCCATGCTTGTCCATACCTGGCATGGTAGAGACCAGGGGCGGACTGACAACTCATGGGGCCCCCGGGCATTAGGGGATCATGGGGCCCCTGTGTCCTTGCACAAACTCAAAAAAGCCTATGAAAAAGGTACCAGGGGCATCTCATGGGGCCCCCTACTGACCCCGGGCCCTTGGGTAGTGCCCGAGTTTCCAAATGGTCAGTCCGCCCCTGGTAGAGACATCATTGAACAGGGGTGCAGAGGGCTTTTCGGAGCTGCTGCAGAGAATGCACTATCACCTGGGACTTTGAGCAGTACCCTGCAGTGGGTGTTCAGAGGATTTTATGCACTGAGAAGTCGGAGTGGCATGTCAAGGGAGACCAAAGAAGAGACTGGAAGAAAGGAGTATGTATTTTGGATAACCAGAGGCAGAAGCATAGGCTTCCTTTGCTTAATTTTCCTGGCTTTTGACCCAAAAGCTTCAATACTTTTTGGGCCACTGACCTGGAACACGCATGCAAATCAGGAGTTATGGGTTCCCCCTGATCTCACTTTCTGTATGCTTGTTCCAGGTCAGTGGTTTGAAACCGCAGCGACAGCTAGGTAAGCAGCATTTTCAGCACTGGCAGCCTTTGTGTTTGTAGTACTGGTTTCCTTTAAACTGACCTGAAATATCTTCAGCCTATCCGTTCATGATGATAATACAGTATTGTGGAGGTAAGAAGCACGGAGGATCCCCATGGGGTTGATTTTACTAAAACTGGAGAGTGCAAAATCTGGTGCAGTTGGGCATGGTAGCCAATCCGCTTTTAACTTCAGCTTGTTCAAGCTTTGACAAAAAAAGAAAAAATTAAGCTGATTCTATGTTTCTATAATGTAAAGCGCTGAGCAAACCGTTGGTGCTATATAAATCCTGTATAATAATAATGTTTCTATGCAGAGCTGCACCAGATTTTGCACTCTCCAGTTTTAGTAAATCAGCCCCTATGAAGTCTATAAGTGTTCTTCTAGGCTGGTGCAGTCATAGATTCACCTTATTTCCAGTCTGAGAATGCATTCTTTCATTTGGAAGTTCTTATTTATGAATGTGTTTTTATTTTGTCATTTAAAGTTTTAACAAAATAAAACATTTGTATAAGGAAACTATTGTCCTCAGTAAAGTGTGACCTGTTCACGTTCAGCAAATGTAAGACTGCAAGGGAGGATAGTGAGATGATCAGGATACATACATGGTTTTTATTATGTATCTTGTTCTGGTTTGACCATAAAGACAGGTGATGTATTCCATGTATCCAAGACAAGCAACCGCAAGCGGGATGCAGAGGCTGACGCCATCCCGGCCCCCCCCCCCCCCCCACTCCCTTCCCTGTTCCCTCTTTCCGTTTCTTATAAACTGAATAAAATCAGTATCCAAATATTACAAACAAAAATTGTGAAACTAAATTAACCCCTTCAAGTCCGGACACTTTTACCCCCCTTCCTGTCCAGGCCAATTTTCAGCTTTCAGCCACAACATCTAAGGATTACTAAGCTGCAATATATAATATTTTTGATTTTGTGTTTCTATACACTTTAGGAGTAAACAGTAGTTACTTGAGCTTTGTAAGCGTGATAATATGACAGAAATAGTCTGTTTTGTTTGGGAATGAAATTAACCTGCCATCTCTTTCCTTAAATCTGAACTCCAGGAATTCGGCCACTTTGTAAAATGTGCAGATAATACAATGAGTTAAGCCCAACCAGGTGCATGCCACTGGACTCCATTCTTTAACCACTTCCAGTCCGGACATTTTCACCCCCTTCCTGCCCAGGCCAATTTTCAGCTTTCAGCGCTATCACACTTTGAATGACAATTGCGCGGTCATGCAACACTGTACCCATATGAATTTTTTTTAGCATATTTTTGATACAGATAAAGCTTTATTTTGGTGGTATTTATTCACCACTGGGATTTTTATTTTTTTTGCTATGTAAATGAAAAAGTCAAAAAATTTTGAAAAAAAGTGTTTTCCTTATAAAATTTTGCAAATAAATAATATTTAATCATAAATCTTGGCCAATATTTATTCTGTTATCTTTTTAGTTAAAAAAAAAACAATAACCCAAATTAGTTTATAACCAAAAATCATAATTTTTAAACATTTTTTTTTTTTACATTTTTTATTTTATTTTTTAATATTAGTTTTTTTTGTTTTTGTTTTTTTACATACTGTCACCCTAGCAGTACAATGTCATAATAGTGACACTGTACTACTTGTGGGGGGTGATGAAGATTTTTTTTTTTTTTTTTACACTGATTGCTTTTACACCCATAAAGGCTGTAAAAGCAATCATTTCTCTTTCTCTCTGTCTGCATTCTTGCAGTCATTGAGAACTACTGTGTGACCTGTGATTGGTCACAGCTTGTCACATGGTACAAAGGCTGTTGTGAATAGCCCTGTACCATGTGATCTCTGTGATCATTCACAGATTTCACATGTAGTAAGCAATGATGTCAGAAGTGACATCTTACTTACTACTCTGCATGTGATCACGGATTGGCCAATCAGTGATCACATGATCAGGACCTCGCACAGAGGTCCTGTATGATGATCAGTGTTCCACTGTGTCCAGAGGACACAGTGGGCACCGGACAGTGGTGCTGCTGCGCGCTCCCAGGGAATGCGCACAAGCAGGGGGCAAGGAGGCCATTTATGAACGGCCACCTGACCCTGCACTGCCACCGTTCGGCCGTTTATATACAACGGCCGGATGGGAGGTAGTTAAAAATGTGAAAAATTGTGAAAAAATTAATACCCTATCCCTTGACACTTAAAAGTCCCACTTTCACCCTTGAAAGTCCAAAATTGAAATCATGAATCCTCTTTAGTGTCAGTAAATCCCTTCAAATAATCTTCAATGTGATAGTCCAAAAATGAAATCCAATATCGCCATGTACCTCACAAATACAAAAACTAAAATGGTGTATTATCCTCGGTGCAACAATAATCACAATCATATATACATATACTGCAGTGGTTCTCAACCTGTGGGTCGCGACCCCTTTGGGGGTCGAACGACCCTTTCACAGGGTCGTTCAACCCCCAAGACCCTAAGACCATCAGAAAACACATATTTCCGATGTGTAAAGAGCAGCTACTGTGTAGAAAGCAGCTACTCTGTTAAAAGCAGCTACTGTGTTGAAAGCAGCAGTATTGGAGGTAAAATGACACTTCATGAATTATAATTACTGGGTAAATAGTTTTATGGTTGGGGGTCACCACAACATGAGGAATGTATTAAAGGGTCACGGCATTAGGAAGGTTGAGAACCACTGATATACTGGATTTAATTTTTGGACTATCACATTGAAGATTAATTGAAGGGATTTACTGACACTAAAGAGGATTCATGATTTATACTCTTTCCGTTTCTTGTCTGGGGAAAGCGCTCATGGCTCAGATTGCTGCAGCTATCATACAGCCGTCTCCCTCATAGCTGTTGTCGGAGGCAGGAGGTGTGTGGGCGGGTCGGACTTCATGGCTAGGGTTAGAAAGCACTTCTAAAACCTGGACAAAGTGCTACATGTACTTCTTCCCATAGGGGGCAGAGCTGGGAATTCAAAATTATAATGATAGATTGTCTTTAAAGCCTAATTCCTCCAACCAGTCCATCCCCCACAGTTACTACCTTTTGTACCACCAGCCCCTCCCTCTTAGATTGTAAGCTCCCAGGATCAGGGCCCTCCTGTCCCTCTTGTATTGAACTGTATTGTTGCTGTATTGTCTCCCGTTATATTGTAAAGTGCTGAGCAAACTGTTGGCGCCATATAAACCCTGTATAATAATAATAATTATTCCAGCTTTCTGCCAGTTTAAAATCGTTTGTTTGGCTCGCCTTCATTAACAGACATGCCTGCCACAAGTGTTTTATAAACTGTATGTAGAATCGGCTACATACAGTATACAGCCCTGTGTTCATGGCTCCTGGAACAAAATCTGCTGCTCAGTCATTCACAGAATGCTTTGTATTTTATGAATTTTCACAAGGTTTCCTGATTGGCTGAGATGGTTATCCTGACATCATTCACTCACCTCTCCACCTCAGCCATTCATAGGAATCCTTGTATTCATTGCAAAAATTAATGGCATCTTGTGAATGGCTGAGCAGCGTTCAGCCCGACTCGTTTTTATTTTGGGGACGAGGCGGGAAGTCCCCATACCACTGCCAGAACACAGTGCTGTATACTGTATGTAGCTGTTGCTAGTTCATACAAGGATGACAGCGGGCGCGCATCTGTCAGGAAGGCAATAGCTCGTTTTGGACCAGCTTGGTCCAAACAAACTTTTAAGGAAGAGTTCCTGAATCTTCAAGAGATGGAGGCAGCATGGCAGTCATTGTGTGACAAGTCCCTGCTGAGCCTAACAATCACTGCCCTTTAATTTACATTCTAAATCTGGGGTCTCCAACTTTCTAAACAGAGGGCCAATTTGCTGTCCTTCAGACTTTATGGGGTCTGGAGTGTGGCCAGCCAGGGAGTAGATAATGCCTCAAGCTTCTGGTCAGTGGGTATACAAATATTACATGCCTGTTGTCAGTAGGAGAAGTAGTGCCCCATCATTGGTGTCAGTGGATGGAATAGTGCCCCATCATTGGTGTCAGTGGATGGAATAGTGCCCATCATTGGTATTAATGGGAGGAATAGTGCCCCATCATTGGTATTAGTGGGAGGAATAGTGCCCCATCATTGGTTTCAGTGGATGGAATAGTGCCCCATCACTGGTATCAGTGGGAGGAATAGTGTCTCATCATTGGTGTCAGTGGATGGAATAGTGCCCCATCATTGGTATTAATGGGAGGAATAGTGCCCCATCATTGGTATTAGTGGGAGGAATAGTGCCCATCATTGGTTTCAGTGGATGGAATAGTGCCCCATCACTGGTATCAGTGGGAGGAATAGTGTCTCATCATTGGTGTCAGTGGATGGAATAGTGCCCCATCATTGGTATTAATGGGAGGAATAGT